ATGTTGCGGTTACCTTCCTTGTAAGAAAATGAAACATAATAGGTGATTTCGAAACGTTGTATATTGACTTTGGCCATCGAGATGCAACATATCAATAATTATTTAAGCATGGGTTTGAAGCCAACGTCTCATGATTGAGACCCGTGAGCTCCAACTACTCACGTCCTCTTATACGTGAAATATTATCTTATCTTTTAAAGTAATTGAGTTTACCTGTCGCTTTAATACCATCATCAAGGGAGACCACTAATTTCCTCAGACACCAATTCGGAAATTATTTTGACGTACTTATTTTAAATTATAACTTGTTTAGATATCGTGTGTACTAAATTATTTCTCATCAGGCTTTGCACTTCCGAAATGAAAAGTGCCTCTCCACAGAAGAAGTATCTTTTTCTTCTTCTTCTTTTTCTTGTACAGCGAGCAGATCTCTTTTTTAGCCGAATCGTAGGCCCGGGCTCGGTAAGAAGATGCTGAGGGGCTTTCACGAGCAAATGATAGTGGACAGGCTTTATATAATTTTAAGTATGTAGGTATCAATGCGAAAATCAAGAAAAGCCGCACTTCGATTACAGTCCTTCAAACTTTCCGCGAGTATGTTATTTTTTAACTTATCAATACGTGATATTTTTCAATGAAATATGCAGAGCGTATGTTTTTGGAAAGCAAAGTTGAACCACGCGAAAGATCATGCTGAATACCGACCAATAATATATCGAGCGATATATTGTCGTTCAATCGTCCTTAGAAAACATGGACATGAGAGGAAATCTGCGACGTTACAGATCAAGGTATCGGTTATCGATATATCTTACTCTTGTGAAATAAAATGATAAGAATAACGTGTAACGCAGTACCCATAGCGCCTGAGGCGCGAAGCATCGGAGGGGAGGGGTCGTACCGCGAAGCGGTCAGGGGGCTGCCTCCCGAAAATATATTTAAAATATATTTGTGTATATATTTAAATGTATTTATATATATTTATAAATATATTTAGTATATCTCAAGTGCGGAGGAGAACGCGTGGAGGTATGAGACCTCCGCCGCCCACCCCTCCGTTCAGGCACGAGGAAGTCTTGAAATCCTACTGCAGAAAATTTGTGAAAATTGGGTCCATCTGGATTTTAATTTATGTCATTTTCCAGCGAAAAAATCTAGAAATTCAATGTAGAAAGGTCTTTAGAAAGGCTAGTCTTTACTTGATTTATTTATTGAATGCAGCTGCAATTGGTAAAAAAAAAATCATTTTAAAACTAGTCACGGGTAAGCGTAAGGTCCAAAACTGGATGAAAAATTGACGCTTGAACCCTCAATTCTTAAGACAGGGTGCTAAAGTAAAGAAGTTTGTTACAATTTCTCCTATCATCCCCTCAGTCTGTAGAGAAATGGGAGACTAAAGTATCTCGAGGCTCCAAACACAAGGTGCCCATATCTCAGCTGTGCCTTTAATTTGGCGATCCTTGGATATTTGTACCAGTGTATCACCCTCTTTTCCTCAGACTAGTTTTTGCTGGTTTAATGCATGCCTCTCAAGAGGACATTCTTAACCTCTTGGGTAAATCCTATCCTCGCGCGCCTGTTGACCCAGTCTATCTGCTTTTAACTCAACTGATACTTCATGCAGGATTCATGCTCATTTTCAGTGTTCAGCGAGTGCATACTGCATAGCCACTAGCCAGTCTTATGCTACATTGTATCGCTCTTACCAATCAAGAGGCTTACTTATTTTGACTTATATTTAACTTTTTAAACTCCGTCTACTGTTGATGGGATGTTTAGACGCTTTCAATTTCTATCGATACAATACGAACGAACACACAAGATGATCAATAAGGCTGAATTCCCTCGAAGGCTTAGTTTTTGTTTACCCACATTGTTTGAGGATGGAGTGAAGGGCTTCTTGAATCCTTCCCTTAGAGTTTGAAGACAGAAAAAAAGATAAAAGGGAAAAAGCACTTTATTATGAAAATGTAGGTGCTGCAGTTGAACTCGTGTGTTTTCCGAAGCGATGAAATTGATTTACACCATATTGTGCTAATTTCTCAGCTAAAAGTCAAATCACATGTTTAAGATGTAACCGTAATGCGGGATCAAAAGTGACTCTTGAAATTCATTCTTTGCACGAGACACTTTAGTATTTATCCTGGTTGTCTGTGTGTTTAAGATTTACGAATTAATTTTTTGGGATGATTAGATAAGGAAGACAAATGAGCTGCGCATAAGTACTAGCGTAAGACTCATTTCACTTGACGGTAAAATTCTCAAAGTTGGGAAAATTATAAGTCAACTTTTGCAATTAGAGGAGAGCATATTATTTCACGATCAAAAAGAACCCCGTAACATAGATGAACAACTGCTCCAGCCAAATATTCTGAAAACAAATTCGGAATCTAGAAGCGTACTTTACTATCTTTAAAATTTGAATGCTTTATTATCAGCGGGCTAAGAGGGATGCCGCATGTCTGCACTTTTAGCCAATTTAATAATTAATGGGCGTTAACAAAGTTCGCGAACCTGGCAGTTCCCTCGGTGCCTGAATTGGAGGAGTATGGTCTCGAACTGGGTCATACTCAGCGTGGGAATAATCTTTCGTTTAAGGATAAAGGATTCAATCAGTCAAGCTGAAACGCATCATATCGAAACTGCTTAGGTAACGCATTGTTATCTGATTTCTTACGTCAAGTATTTCGTGGTATGCGCAAAGTGCATATTGGAAAGTCCCCAGCGATCGGATGAGTGATGAGAAACCTGCCAATATATCTTACCGGATGTATTCAAATGTGGGTTATCAATCAAGACTAGATACTGCTTTGGGGCATAAAAAGACTAAGGTTGCCTCTCTAAAGAGGAGGTACATTGATCCTGCTCATCTCTTCAAATAGGTCGGAAAACCAAGAAATTTGCAAACATTCGGAGGAAACCTTGAAGAACCTTAAAATAAAGGCTTACGCCCATTTTCTGTGCCTCGTGTCAGAGCCGGATTTAAGGGATTTCAGGTTCCTAAACGCAGTCTCCCTAAATTTGCACCTATTTCAAAAAGGGGGGGGGGGGGGTACGATACTGGTAGTGACCAAGTTGAGGGGAGTTCAGAGCCCTCCCGTGGAATATTTGATGCGGGGGAAAAATTTGATGATGATTGGGAGAAAAGGAGACATTTCAGGCGGAAAAATTCATAAAAGTGCACACTATGTCACATAGAAATGTCTTGTTTGGTCTTACCTTGAAAATGATGATTTAAGTAAAATCTGATAAAAGTTTGTGGCACCTAGGCGTATGTGCTTCCGATGCGCCTAAATGGAAAATGCAGCCTTGCCCCCCTTGAATCCTCTTGAAGAATTTAATTTAAATTCAAACTTTAAAAGTTCCTCTCCTTTTTGGAATGTAAACAAATCGGGATCGAAGTTCTGAACGAGGTGAAGGATCGATAAACAGTCGGTTATTTTCACTTTTGAATCATAGCAACAAACAAACAGACAAACAATTAGCAGGGTGTGAGTACGTGTAATTGAACAAGCGTCACACACTTGCACTCAGATAAACTACTGTTCCGTGTGTAATCAGCGTGAGAAAAAAACGATTTCCTTTTCTATATTTGCTTGCGATTAGTGGATTTAGAATGTATTCCTCTTGTTGATCAACGGATAACTCAGCGAGTTTTTGGTTTATAATCACTAATGAGTAACACACCAAATAAGTAGTTGCTACTTCTCCTACGCAGTAACGCAGTGAGGCCACCACCGGAATCAACTCCGATGCTACTTCAGCATCATATCTACGGGTTGTAGGTTCATGGTATTTTATAATAATAAAAAAAATAATTAAGAAAAGAAAGAAAATTGAAAGAAAGAAAAATTTAAAAAATAAGATAATCAGATCCTCTCGATTCCCATGAATTAGAGTGAAAATGTAACACAAAAATCATGCCCTGCCCTGCGTGAACGTCACACGACTCATGAAAATAAGGAGCTTAACAATCACATAGAATAATACGTAATGGGAGAGCTTAGACAAGTACATGGCCGGATTTACCTACTTGCCGCCCATGGGCTGCCTGTATTTTGCCGCCCTCTTCTCATTCATTTTGAAACATCAATAAAAACCATCAAGTGAACGTGCCGGAGGGAGAAGCGTGCATAAGACGCGTTCATTCATGTTGGACACATTTTTTGCGTAAGCCCTGTCAACTCTACTAGCAAAAGTTCACGGAACTTCGCGCGAAAGTTCAGGTCCGTAAACCTATCTCTGTGGGGACAAGGCCTTTCATTTGTAAGAAATGAACTAAAAAATTAAGAAAGAACAGACATAAATGTGGTTTAATAATTTTAACTTCCGCCGCCGTGCCGCGCTGACCACTCTGTGATTGGCGCAATGCGTGAAGTATTCATGTAGTCTTGAAGGCACTGTGCGTTTCACGCCGCGCCGACCGCTGTTGACCGTACTGTGTTCGACGCAATGCGTGAAGTATTCATGCAGTCCTGTAGGCGCTAAAATGTGTTACATGCTCACCGCCGCGTCTTGGGCTCCTCCTTTTCATCTCAAGTCCTCGCCATCATTTCTCTTTGCGCCGCGCCGCTCCAGGCCAAATTACCTTATACGTGTTTGATTTTTCTCTTAACTCAACTAATTAAAGGTGTGCAGTCTTTTGTATTACCGAAGTACGACAAAATTAGAAATTAATGAACTTTCAGGAAATTAGAGATGTTGTCACCTTTTCTTGTTTGTAATTTTTTTTCTGAATCCGATTTTTTTGTACCTGCATTTAAAAAAATTGCAAAATTTGCCGCCCCCTAATTTTGCTGCCATGGGCCGCGGCCCATGTGGCCACCGCCCTTAATCCGGCCCTGGACAAGTTAAATTCATTTTGCACCACTTTTTGTGATGTGCATTTTGATCTCGTACTTACCAACTACAACATATGGATATGAATCCTGGCACGTTTCCTGTATATTCCCGAAATTATCATCTAACATATGAGAAAATTTTATTTTTTGTTATTATAGGATTGGAATGAAAATATTGGCGGAAATGCATCGGTAGTGACTATCGAAACAGCCTTAGATTATGACCACATTGCAGAAATTAAACATAAGGAACAAGTACGTATGCTTTTCACGTAAGGTTATTAATGCATGTATATTGAAAACTAGTGAGTGCCGATGCTCCGGTTATATCAAAGGACATGCTGTTAGACGTCAAAACTGCAGAAATTCAAATTTAAAAGCTGCAACCTTCAATTTCGCAAAATGAGGTTATTTAAATAAAAAAATAAATCATTGAAGTTATGCAGATCACAAACTTAATGCAGCGTTGCTTTTGAGCATGCAATACTTGACTTGGTAAATTCTAATATTAAGTCTGACGCTGCAGTATCAAACTGTATGGACTCTTGAGCGATAAACTATACAGACATTGAATACACAAAATAGCTTATAAAATAGTGTATTGAAGGTAAGGTCTTGTATTCAACCATCAATCGAATCCAGGGGATTCATTTACGCACATGAGGCGGATCATCGCTCAAGAGGGAATTTTTGCAAAAATCGAAGGGAAAATCACGTGTGTTTAGACTAAAGCTGAGTATCGACATTGCATTATGGACATGCGGAAATCAGCAACAAACGGTGAGTGTAAATATCAACAGGCCAATTTAGTGATGACTCTTTATGGTCCAAATTGGCATTCACACGTGTCATGTAGTCTTTGCTCTATAAATAATTGGACATTCTGATAAGATATTCAAACTGCAATTCGGAAGTTGTCACAATTTTGAGTTATCTGTTAAGGCATTACATTAGCTCTCACGATTAGAATGCGTAGGCTATGAATTGGTGAGAGACAACAACTCTGAGATCTTCATCCCCGTCTGAAACCTATGCATGAAGTTTTCTAATCTCTCATTTTATTATTTCTTAATCGGTGCTAAGAAGCTGAGCATTCATATTTGTGTGTCTGCAGCTTCTACCTATTTTATTCGGCATACATTTGTACTTTTGATGAAATGCCGCTAAGAGAGAGAAAAAAATCACCTGTGGGCATAACAAGAAGATACCCGTCATTTCACATCTCTTTGGAAGTTGGTGGTTGTTATACCACTTCCTCGCTGGAGAGTGCAGTCTTGGACCAAGACTCTTGGCTAGCGAAAAACAATTTCTGAACGACATGAAATTGCTCATCAAATTGTTCATGATGATGCGCCACTGAAAAAATCTAACCAACGATGCAACTTCATCAACTAACGATGAAATTAGAGATCACCAAAAAAGGAGTTGGTTGCTTCCCACGCTGCAAGGACCGTTTCAGAAACTTTGATCTCGATAGATACGAGGTTTCTGTTTCACACCCACCCAAAAGTTCTAAAGGAAACTAAATTTCCTTTGAGCTTAGCATTGGAAACCCGATTTTAGACATTGGCTTTTAGTACGATGCTTCTTTAATTACGGTTGTCCTATCTTTATACCTACGTCTTTCAGGAGATATTTCTACGTAACTTATACATTTAAATTAAAAGTTCCTGACAGTATCCATTGAGTTGCGGTTATTCCGTCAGGTTCGCAAAAAATGCTTCCATCGGCACACATGCGTAAGAATACCTCGGCCTCTTTAGCTTTTTACTGGGTATCTTATTGCACTTGCAACTGGAGCAGCGTGATGAAATGTTAATGCCGCGCTAGATGCAACAATTCGTGCTGAATGGCTATCCGTGTTGCGTATTAACTAGAATGAAGGCGTTTTGGTTCCTCTTAACACGTGGTTATGATGGTCTTGCATCCCTTGGTCCAACAGGGAAGTAATTATTGAGTAATAATTACGTAGATAACCGATAGGGCATCTTTTTGCCGGCGAAAGCCTTGTTTTACGGCGTTGGAGTTCCGCTGGGTTGTTTTTTCTTTTTTATTTTGCGTGTTTTTCTTATCCGCTGTGGACATTTCGGCAAAAACACGTCGTGCGTGAATTTGGGGAGCTCTCAACAATTCATATACGATGCGGCATTTTAGTTGCAGCCAAACTATTGTTCCAATGAACAGGAGCAAATGTAGGAATGGAAGTCTCTCCAGAAACGCTGGAATGAGCGAAAATTGTCTCGTCTTGCTTCAGCCGCGAACGCTCTCTCCATTTTCCTCTTGGAAAATTTGATGAGTAGCGATGCAAAATGTGACTTGATCCTTAAATTGGTTATCAAATCCGCAACCGGAGACTAACTGTACTTGTTGTGTATTGATTATCAAACAAGTTCTTCATTTGTCTTTACTCTAGACGTACTACTCTACAGCGCGATGTTGTTCATAACGCGCTTTAAATCAATCTATGATAGAATTCGGCCTTTGTAATCAATATTTTTTTTCATTGCCTTTTTTATTGGTCAATGATGGGTTTTTTTAGCCATCGTGCGTGAAAAGTTCAGCTTAAAGCTGATATCTCATTACAGAGGGAAAAAGCTTACACACAAGCACAATTCTCCCTCAAAGAGATACGCTGTTTGCAGCGACATATGTTTACGTCCATTCAGGAATGTAACTGCAGACGCGTTTCGGCCTTGTTGGGCCAATTCTTAGTGCAGCGCAGTTTTTTATTGGTGGACATCTTTGTAGACCTACTGGAGGTTTAAAATCCGGTCAATGAAGATCTGTGACAACAGAACATATTTTTTGCTTTGAAATTATTTCAACTCAGTCAATACGTTTTTTGGCAAAGGTAATAAAAATAGCATTCAGGGCTGGGACGTCTTCATTTTTTGCCATTCAAAAATTCTTAGTCGTTTATTCGGCACTCTCCATCGGAGTAATAGGTGAAGCCGTGCTCAAGCGGCACTCAAAAGGCGGGTCTCGATCTGGATTTGAGTGACGTTTATACGGTCTCAGCTAACAATCATTTGGATGTTTTTACCGTGAGATTAGACTCCTTCAAACATCGAACAAATCCAGCCAAAGATTTACCTATATGCGATGTTCCAATAATTATTATTTAATTTGGAGCAAAGTGAAATCTCGCTCAAACTGATCAATGGCACTCGATGCTTTTAAGCCTTAAAAGATGTTTAAGTTATGCATTTTCCACTCAGTAGATACATATCAACACCATGGATGCTAAGGGAGATCACCCTTGTACGTACTTCTTTCCAAAATAAAAGTATAGATGAAGAGCATGTACATAAACTTCACTTGAAAACTGCACTGAGCTTTAACTCTCAGATTCCCTTATTCTTCACTGAGAGTGCTCCGGAATTTGAAAGATACTTATTACTTCTTTCATAAAATTCTGTTAGCACCATATGTACTCTTTGTCAAGACCGTCAGTTGGTCTTTGCTCCCTAGTCCCTACGTATGAGCTTATGAAAACTACTGATGCGGTACCATAGTATTTCCTCATTACACGTCCTGCGGTTTTTGGACTGACATGAGATGAAGTGGGGCAAAAGTATCATTTACGTATGTTGTTCTCTGCGAGAGTCAATTGAAAGCTATTTTGAAGTTTTTGACGGGAGAAAACCTCAGAGTTGTTTGAGCCTACTCACCACAAATTGACACTAACTAATATATGCGTTATTTTTCTCATTTAAGCTGTGGAATGGAAAAAGCAATGGTTCGGTCCCAGTTTTCCAGGAAAAATTACGAAATGGCAAACTTTCCAACGTGACGAATAAACGAATAGTAAGTCTAATATAATTTTACGCAGCAAGTTTACACATAAAAACGCTGCGCTTATTTGTTAATGGTTTTTCATATCACTTTTATGGCTGGAATTATTTCTTCAGTGATGGTCGATAAATGAAACAGCTACCTATTAATTTTGATAAACAATGTAGCAAAATATCCTCGGTCATGAATAGTACGGAGTCTCTCATCGACTTGCGCCATCGATTCAATGAGAAACTCTTATAAATGCCCTCTCTTTGCATTATGTGTAAAATACAATCGGTTGTGTCTTTCTTGCTCGGTTGGCATTAGCGATCATCGCAAGACAATAATTGAAAGGTGAGTTCCATGAAAGTTTTTTTTTTTTAGTTTTCATTCATTCTCATGTAATAGATATAGACAACTTCTCGCCGGTAATGTCTAGCACTTGAATGGGAAACTAATTAAAATCAGTCATGCATTCGCAACTCAGGAAAATACTCAAAGAAAAATGTATGCTCAAATACTGTATTACTGCATTTTTAATTTTGATCAATAAGTTATCATAATGTGGGTCCTTTACAATACCTCAGAGAGAAAATCAGAATATACGTGGAGAGTGTCACAAATTCCATCAAAAATACATTTTTTATCCGGGGAAATTTGGTTCGAGTAGCAGCGTAATCTGATGCTTAGCGCGCGCGGCAGGACAGTTGTCTCCTTTTTTCTTTACCGGGCGTTTAAGGCTCTGCCAAGGCTATGACGTTTTTTGACACCTGCGGCGAATCCTAATATGTGTCCAAAACTAATTTTGTGTGTCGAAGGCAATTAGTCAAATCAGGGATTTGTAAAATTCCTAGTATTGCCTAGGCATATAGTCAAATAATCTTACTTGGATTGAAATTCTGATTTTGTTGCTAATTTTAGACAAAATAATTATACTCTCAAACTGATAAGGAGTTTCAGTTGGCATAATTCAGTTGTAAATAAATTCAATCTAGTCCTTAAACGAGCTTTCATCTTGGGATTTTCAGCATGTCATATAAGTAATACCGAATTTTTAAAATTCTGAAAGTTAAAACACATGAGGAGCATTTGGAGGGCAAAAGATAAGTTGGTAATTTTGACGGATTATTACTTTCAAAACAATGTAAACTTAATAGTCTCTCGTCAAAAACATACAAGTGTTTGTAAAGCATGAGAATTTGACTATCTGTCTGGTGATTTGATGAAATTCCTGATTTGACTATTTGCCTGCGAAGTGTCATGTGCTTGATGAATGAGTGTGATTTTGAAATCTTAAAAGGAGGACGCTGAGAGCAGTTTGGAGTTGTTCTGCTACAAGAACGGATCGGCCGCGGTGCCGCGAGGAAATGCGGGAGCAGGAACCGGACACGAGGTGAACACATCGGCGTCATGGAACGGCCTCAACGGGTTGGTCAACGGGCCGGGGTCGGAGCGACTCAACCCCAGGGACGAACTCCTCGTCGAGAGCAGGCGCTACCGCCACTCGAGGAGCTTATCCCTGTCGGTGTCCCTGGACAAGGGCAACGACTTCTGCCAACTTTGCCGACTCCGAAAGAAGAGTACAGATAGCGGCAAAGAGCCAGGTCTCGGCGGCTTCACCAAGGCTCAGTGGTTCACTATTTTGGCCATTGGTCTCGTCGAGTTCATCGGCTTCTGTTCCATGTCTATTATGGCTCCATTCTTCCCTAGAGAGGTAACAATCCACTTCAAATCAGTATCCAGGCCTAAGAAACAATACCGCCTAACTGACAATTTTTACGAAAATAAATTAGCCACTTTCCCGCATACTTTAGTATTAACTACGCAAGCTGATTTTTTTAGTTTTTTCCAATTCCGCATGGGAGCTTTGTAAAGACGCTGTAATGTACAAGAGAGTGCAAATCTAACCGCTAAATTACAAAATGGCCAAGTTTTTTATTGTCCTAAAAGATCGTCAGTTTTCAGATAGGCGGTATGGTTCCTTAGCCATCAATATTCGATATGTACGTCTCACGGCCATAACAGTGACTCAGGCTCGGATGTAAAGTAGTTCCTTGTCAGCCTCTTTCCTCAAAAAAGCTTTTTGCAGTATATATTGTGTTTAAGGAACATTAAAAAGGCTTTGAACATAACATTCTGAAATGAACAATTTTTACCAAAATTTTTATCAAAGACAAAAACACTAAAAAATGTGGCACTGACAAGTGTGATCTACTGATGAGGTCTGATACGAGTAAGAACCTGAACGTTACAGATCTCTCGGTGTGGCCCAGCTTGATATCCTAATGCATTTACCTGAACTGGAAACTCTCCTTCCTCAGTTTTGCACTCATCAGAGCTCAAATTTGTGATTCCAATTAAACATTTTTGAACTTTTTGGCCTTGCGTTTCCCGCTAAATAATGTGGACGCAGCACTACTTTACCACCTTTGAGAGAAACGCAACGCTACAGCGATGGAAATAGATGCTTACAATGGATTACAAGTATACTGAACGCGAAAATAAAATAAATGTTTGATTCTGACAAACTTTAAAGTAGGTATGTGTCTACGTGAAAAAGTCATCAGCGTGAGGGAAATCATTGCAAACCTTGGAAAATATCAATTTTTAAAGCCAAAGCGTTGAATATCACTATAGAGGTTTGTAAAACTGTTCCTCTTTATGATGTTATGTTAAATCCTACTTGAACACTCCTTTTAAGATGATGTAAAATACATGAGGCCTGCCCGAGGAAAGGAGCTGTTTAGGAAACGCCTTTTATCGGGGCAATATACCTATAAGGAAGAAGGACATATCTACACTACATGCTGCATTGTGAGTTAAGGGGGGGGGGAACCTATACCTACCTCTGATAGTTTAGAATTGCCAATAGATATGTATAACATACGGTCGCACAGCATATGAGATGACCCCTTTCCAAAATTATCGACTATCCCTTGAAAAAAAAAAAAAATATCCAACCTTCTTAGCACATTAATAGATTAAACTTAAAATTGTCACCGGAAGCGGTTATTGTTTTTTTTTCTGTGAACTTTAATCTTTATTCCTCACGTTTCATTTGTGTTTTTCTTTTTCAGGCTGCAGGAAAGGGAATGAACGTCGCTTGGGCAGGATTTGTATTCAGTTTTTATGCTTTTGTAATGTTCCTCATGTCTCCTGTTTGTGGGAAAATCCTGCCTCACACAGGAGCAAAGTTCCTTTTTTTGTCAGGAGTTTTCATTGCAGGATGGTGCAATATTTTATTCGGGTAAGAGTTGATCTTTCGCTTTATAAATAGGCAATAATGTAAAAATTGTCATCCGTTTGCCGGGTTCAATCTACTTTGCTCGTCCAATTACCCAATTAATGTGATCTGATCAAATTGCTGTCTGATTCTAGGGTTCAATTGATGTTAGGCCCTCCTCACCGTAAAGAAAAACTTTTCTGAAGTTAAAACAAACTAACGGTTCCAATTTCGAGAAGGGTGAAGATAGTTCAGAGAGACAGCTCGTGAAATACTTGCCATGATGTATTTTTAAAAAATTAATTTAGAAAAATTGTAGGTACAAATAGTGACAATGACTGACGTCCAAGCGCAGAGAGAAAATTTGCTCTTTAGATATTTAAAACGGCTGATATCAGTACGCGTGGAAAGTATAGTCACATTGAAGTATAAGTGAACGATGTCAATGATAATTTTGCAAGTTGGCTGCACTGTTTTTTCCCCCATTTAAATCCACTAAAAATATCGATTTTAGATGAGGGAAGTTGCCTCATTACGAATCGATTGTTTTACAAACATTTAAATGGAAAAAAACAGCGTTACTAACTTCCAGGAGTCGCCATTGAACGGAGGTACCTATAGTCTGATTCGTTCGATTTTCTTTTGAACATAATTTGGTTCAAGATTCCTAAATATTCTTTCTTCTTCAATGTTCGCACACGTGCTCTGTCGGAATATTTCTGAGAGTAGAAAATCGCTCCTCAAACAAAATTGACTTACCCAGCTTGCATTTTTAATAATAGATTTGTTCTCTTTTCGCAGAGCTCTACCTCAGATACAGAACGACACAATGTTTGCAATATTCTGCTTTATAGTCCGAGGATTTGAGGCATTAGGAGCAAGTGCATTCACCACGGCCAGTTTCGTGTTCGTCACTCACTTATTTCCCGAAAATATCGGCACTGTTCTGGTGAGGTGTGATTTTAATTCCATTCGCGAAAACGATTTTAAAAAAATTATGAAAAGGGGTATAAGTTAAAATTAAAGGTGGAGAAATGGTGCTGGATCCACATTATTTTGCGGGGAAAACTAAGCCAAGAATTTCCAAAAATTATAATTAGAGTCAAAAATAAATTTTTTTAACTCTATAGTTAGAGTTAAACAAATTAGTTAGAGAAATCTATAGTCAGAGTTAAAAAACAATTATTATTGACTCTAATTATAATTTTTGGAACTTCTGGCTTTGTTTTCCCCGCGAAATGGTGTGGACCCAGCACCATTTCTCCACCTTGTTACTTACAGTATTCGGGCCACTTATTAGTGTTTTTTTCTCAGTTAAAATTAAATTGAACCATGCATTTTCCTCTCTTCTGTTGTTTTTTTACTATTTATTCTGCGGATCGCATGTAAGGAGCATTACATGTGAGAGCTCTTGATCAGAGGACCAATATTCTCGTGTTTGCTCTATGTTTTCTTAGGAATGGCTCGTTTTCGAAGAAAATCGAGGGGATAGAGAGGGGAAAAGATTGAGGTCATATTTTGACTATGCAGTAAAAATTACGTAATATTCAAACAACACAAGCGTTTTTTTAGGAGTATACCTGTGCTGATGTCTAGGGATAAAAGAATGAAAGGCAGATGAAAATAATGAAAGATTATTTATTTCAGGTTTAAAATATGAGAGACCTTTATCGATGGCTAGATAGCGTTGAGAAAACTGCGTACGTCCAATTTTGAGGTTGCGAATCCGCTCATGTTTTATAACATTACATATATTTATGTACGAGCTGTTCGGAGCGCGCTTCACGCGCTTTCGCTGCTAGCACAACAAGTGTTTTGAGTTATGTTAAATGAGACTGATCACAAGTTTGTTATTTTTATTTTTTAGGGAATCCAAGAGACTTTCGTTGGACTCGGAATGAGCGTTGGCCCAGCTCTAGGAGGAATTTTATACGCGGTACGAGTGATTTGATTTCTATATAATGCTTCTTTCAGAAATATTTTTTCACACCGTCATCAAATTTCTAAACAACAAGAAAAAATTTAAAATATTTTACGAATAATTTCGAGAGTACAGCAATCTTTGTAGATTAAAATCAGGAATGACAGATTCAGATGTTTTTTGCTGATGAACACTTTTCCACAGAGGTCGTTTCAAAGTGACTTCATTTCATCTCAGGGGTGTAATTAGCGTAGCTTTGTATTTGCATTCTAGAATACGAGTGATTGATTCTTACCACACGGTGGAGTTCTCTTTTTACGCAAGCAATATTTACATCAAGTTTTCGTATTTTCTTCTTTCAGTGGGGAGGATTCGCTCTTCCGTTTTACTTGGTTGGAGGAGTCATGGTGGCAGCTTTGCCATTATATATGTGGCTGCTGCCCTACGTCTACCAAGGTAACTCTTCTTTTTTGTTATTTTCATGGTTTTTTGGAAGCCCTGAGAGCTGGCGAACTCCCAGGTCTGAACCAATAGGTATAAGAAAAGACAAAACAAAACAAAACAACATATTATAAGGGATGTAAACTACTCTGTTGTTTGCAACATCCACTTTATTTTTAAACTTAGTTACAATGTGTAAAATTCTAATGTGTAGACGTTCACAATAAACGCTTAGTAATAAAAAAAAAAAAAAAAAAAATGGTTGTTTGGAATGAAAATGGCTAAATGTGGTAGGCTCTTCAGTAATCTTCTACCTTTTACACAATTCTCTAAAACATTTTAAGAAAATAAAAAAGGAGCGCAGAATTGTCCCTATATCATCGCACTTTTGAGTTTCATAGCTTCAAGACTGAATTGAATGATCACTTGATTTTAATACATATTTTAAAGATATGCACAATCAATCAAATGCACAAACTGTATAATTCCTTTTGTTCCCATCTCAACTAATTCATCAATTGTGGTTCATAATACTTTTCTACTTGCAGAAGAAAGTCACAGTGAGCAGTCCGGGTCATTCCTTAAGTTAATGACGGTGCCATCAGTATTCATCATCGGTTTAGTCGTAATGGTTGCTTCAACTGTGTGGGCGTTTTTGGATCCAACGCTCGAACCCCATCTAAGAGAGGTAATTTTTCCTCAAGAGCCTCATGTAATGAGTAGAAGCCTCATTTAATGAGCCTTTCAATACTGTGGAAGTCTCTAAATTTCTAAAATATTTTCTCTATTCGATTGAGGATAGTGCATGACTCGCTTGGCGTCCAAGTTTGTTGTAATTTTAACCAAAAGCGCTTGAAAGACCAGAGTTTTAAGTTTTTTACACCATATCGTAACGCATCAAAGTTTGACGCGGAACCTATGAATTTTCTTCAGTGCTGATCACGCCTGGCGATTATCTTGAAAATTACAGAACCCCCCCCCCTCCCCTCAAAAAAAAAGATCACAACAAGAAATAATTTTTCCGCCTGTTTAAATTATTAAATGCAGATACAGAGATGTAGAATTTTGTCTACGTTACGACACGCCCTCTTCATTTTACCACGGTTCGGCGATATAGAGAATTTTTGTAATAGGGAAATTTAAGTAGTTACATTTTGACAAAGTGACATCATTTTATCATGCTCTATTACCACATAGAAATGGGCTTATATTACGTGCCGATAAGTTCACAAAATGACGTACATTTTTCACAATTTAATGTCGATTTGGTGCGACCCTGGTCGCTTTATAAATAAGAATAACATCGATAGCTGCGAGAGTTCATCAAACGTTAAAATTAAACTTAAATCATGTTCTAACTTAAGGATGTTCTGCGGTCGGAACATGCCTAAAAACTGCAGAATGACTCGGTGTAGATACCCTGATTTACTGATATAGTTAGTGATACTGAGATACATACCAAATAAAAATATTCGGAGGGGCTCATGAAAATATGTCTTCATGAATCATCGAAATTATTTTTCTCACACGGAAATTACAATCTGGTCAGTTTTTCGAACTCTCAGTGTTGACTTGTGGGACGAGTAAGCAATTTGTGTGTGAAGTTAGTTTGTAAATTTAGGTTTCCAGCATTATGGCCTCATTTAAATTTTATTTTACAATGTTTCAGCTAAATTTAACGAGCACAGAAATGGGTCTCATTTTTCTTCTGTTTTCCGCCTTATATGGGCTTTCGAGTCCGCTGTGGGGCTGGCTTGCCGATCGATTGGACCATCATTGGGGCATGATGGTGGTTGGATTGTTATTTTCAACCGTTGCACTCCTACTCTTGGGTCCTTCGCCCATCATTGCATACTCCAGGAAGTAAGTTCAGCTTAGCAGCATGTAACCGGCTAACGTACCCCCTCCCCCACCTTGTGAGTGGGGGATTTTGAAAAAAAGGCATTCATATTTGAGAGGAAAATATATCTTCCAAGGCAAGAAAAACATATGCATTAGACTTCCTAGACCTTCATGTCCATGACCCTCAGAAGCGATGAAAAATTTTGAGAATTGCATGAATGATGCACCTAATAAAATTTTCATTCTTTGTAAATGTCGCAGGCAATTGGAAATCGCCGGTAATTTACAAGCCAGTGGTGAATAAATATAGAAAATCATAAAATTCAAAAATAGAAGAACAAGATTAGAAAGCTGATTATGTTGCCTATGAGAATAGACACTTTTCCATCCTTAAAAACATGGCAGGAATATGCACACACAGAAGAGCGTGTGGTGAACTCCGTAACAGTAAGTTGGTTGAGATCGGACAGGCAACTAAACCAACACCATGACAAAGCGCAGAGTACCACAAAAAATGAAGGCGCTTCAAGCCGAGCTTATAATTTTGAAGACCATATCGCTTAAAAATTGCATTATGCCGATGCGCATTATTGCGATTTATTGAAACAACGTGTGAACCGCTTGCATATTGCCGGCGATTGCTAATTGCCTGCAACATAAATATTAATGTCTTAGATGATCCCTTCTCTTCTTCCTTATTTCTTGAATTGGAAGTGTAGGAACTTTCATAAGCAGTTTGTACTTCCCTACCCCGAATAATTGAAAGTAATTTGAATTTGTATGTGTTTCAGCACCCTCTTCTCGAATCTTTTCGCCTTGTGTTTAATTGGAGTGTCTGTCTCCTTAACTCTCATGCCAACTTTCAAGTCTCTTCTAAAATGTGCACTGTGAGTATACGCCTAAGATCTTCATCATTCTTATTTTTAAGTTCCCTATATTTTTATTCTTCTAGTTTTGCATGAGTATTTTAAGCCACAGATTGTGAAGCACAATGATCTAGTCACGAAAAATCTCAACCCTAGTCTTCTTAATCCTATAGTTCCAGCGTTGTAATATCATCGTCTCAACACTGCAACAGATGAGCAACAGACGAGTGATATATGTGGTAGGCATTTTGCAAATAAACTCCACTGAGAAAAAAGAATCGTTGCTCTTACGATGCTCAAATCTGATTTCAGGTCTCACCCACTTTTCTCGTCCTAGTTCAATGTTACTTCTGTGGTAACCATTATTTAAGCCCCGGTAAGAATGCAGTCCATGTTAGCGAAACTGAGTGTAAGGGATAAGTGACAATAGAAAATGAATGATCCGAAAATGGGTTAATCGTAAAAGTTAAAGAGAGAAGGAGAAAAATGCAAACAAATCAGAAAATTCGAAAAATATAGAAATAAAATAAAACAAAAAGAAATATTTATAAGAAAGGAAAAATATACGGCTTGGGGCGTTACGTAATGTATCCTGAACCCCCTCTCTCTCATCGTAACGTAGGCTTAGATCCTCTCCACCCTGGAGCGTTATGTTTTCTTACTAATAGTCTAATGAGTATTTTGGCTCTACTGCAAATATGTTCCGCTTATATGAGTGGGTAACACAGGTGCACATGGATCAGTGCCTGAATGGGCCCAATGACTGCTAAACTGGCTGTAATATTGGTGTAATGAATGTTCATTCATTTATTTTTTTTTGGGGGGGGGGGGCTATGCCCTCAGATCGCTTTGCGGTCTAATCCCCCAAAGTGGCAGGGCACTCGCCGCAGGCGTTATATGCTACGCGTTACTCTTTGGATTTTATATTCTAGAGAGTAGGATATACTATACTTCTTTAATTACCATACTATTCGATGCAATTTTTACACATGTTTTTTTACTTGTACCTAGGGATGCAGGATTTGAAGATGGAATCTCAACCTACAGTATTGTCGCAGGAGTTTGGTCTTGTAATTACTCTTTGGGGTAAGTATATACGGCTAATGAATGGTTTAATCAATTAATTTGACTTCTTCTGATATAAATTTTTGACCTCCTCAAAACTGACTTTTGAGTGAAAAAAGTCTCCTTAACATTAAAGAAAAGAGAATGTAAATAGCTTACACTCTGCACAAGCTACTATAGTTCTCGCAATTAATTCATTTCCCTTTGTTTCCCTCCCACATTAAGATCCGATTGCATTGCCTTTTGTAATTTCTTAGGTACCTACGCACATTTTTATTAATGTTCATTTGTGTGAATCATTTGCAATTTGACGGCCGAACTTCCAAAATTCTTATTTTTTAGCCTTTAACTAAAAGTATCACACGTATAGGTACTCGATCTTCTTTAATCAATTTTGTCATGCAGTATGAGCCCGAATAACTTTGGAGCTCCCCCAAATCGAAATCATATAACCTCCATTTAAAATGAAAATTTAATGTAGTCATGAATTTGAATCTTTTTCAGAGACATGATTGGACCTTCATTAGGTGGGATACTTCTGGATCAGTTCGACTTCCCCATTTGCTCAACAGTCATGGCGGCCCTGACCTTATTCACGGTAAGACTTGTAAAAATTCAAAGTGACAATTTATTTTGAGAAGGGCGTAAGCACCATTGGGAAACGTATTACTAATATCTGATTGAATAAAAAAGCCCTGGTAAAAATTGGCGATAGGAGCTGCGTTTCAAAATACCATAGGAGTTCTTATAGCCGACTGAAGAAGGCGATAGAAAATCATATAGCTGGCTCCAGAAAGTGGAAAAAATCATACGGTCGGGCTACACGAAGCGATAAAAAATTATACAGCCGGGCTATAGTTCTTCCTATCGCCGTTCCTTAAACTTTATCGCTTGGCTGTTGCTTTTTCGCCATCGGCTATAAAAGGCTATAAGAAATTGTGTAGAAATTCGTGTGCTTTGTAAATCCTTAAGTTTGTACGGAATCACCTTAATATTTACAAAACGCACATTATATTTTCCTTTACTACATATTTTTTTTCATCAATTACAATGAGAATAATCCATATAGAGTGTGCAAACATTTCAAAGTCATGAGTTGAAAAACGCTGACTCCACGAGACTAAATATTAGAGCCTAACACAAAGCGGAGCGGCGGCGCACTGGCGCCTACAAACCTAACAGGGATACTTTACGCATTGCGCAATGCGTGAAGTATCCCTGTTAGGTTTGTAGGCGCCAATGCGCGTTTCGCGCTGGCTGCCCGCCCGCCGCGTCGCAGCGTACCACGGCGCTTGAAGCAACTATTTCACGCCAGAGGTATTGCACAGTATCATACGAAATTGAAGGCGCTTCAACATATCAGGAATGGCAGGCATCCTTCAGAAGTGCGGAGCTTTCCTCGCAAAATAAATCAAGATACTACGGCCCAAAAAGAGAGCGGTAGTCCAAAAGGTCGCGTGGGGATTCGGCCGGTGGGGATTCGGCCGGTCGGATTTTTCGTGGGGATTCGGCCGGTTTCCGATTTATTATCCAGAGTGTGGAAAGTTTGGCAACAATGTACTAATGCGAAGCAGAGGCATACTCTTATCATGTTGGTGATATCTCGAGATTGAAATCATGCTTATCTGTATACAATTCATGCAGAGTACAGAAGCACCCACCGTTCTGTTTGCTGCATTCCTATTTTTTACGCTTTACTTCCGAGCAAGCAGAAACGTACTTATCAACGCTTATTTCATTTGTTAAACGAAAAATTTCCAACGTGGAAGCCAGAAAGTTTCTGTTTAGATTTTGAGATTGCTGTCATGTCCGTTTCGTCAAATTTATATCCTGACGCAAAATTGCACGGGTGTAACTTTCATTTTAACCAGTCAATTTGGAGGAAAGTTCAGGAATTGGGTCTCAGCGTTGAGTATAAAGTAAGCACACTATGTTAAATAGCTCATTTCTTGTATACCACGTTTTATTCAACTTAACCAAACTTTCCATACTCTGAATAATAAATCAGAAACCGGCCGAATCCCCACGAAAAATCCGACCGGCCGAATCCCCACCTAATCGTCCAAAAACTCACTAAGTCCTAGCATCCGCAATTAGTAACGTTTAGCATACACTTTACCGCCAGGCTGTTGCTTAGTCGCCATCGGCCATAAAAGGCTGTAAGAAATTGTGCTGCCGGCTATTGAGGCCATTGGAAATTTTACAGCCGACTGTAGGTCTATGGTATTTTGGAACACGGATTCTACTGCCAATTTTCACCAGGTAGTGCTTGATTCATACTTTATTTACCATAAGTAATATTTTGGGAATATCACATTACTTATACTTGTTACTTTATTCTCTTTAATCCTTCATATTCTTGGTTTTACAGGCATTCTTGAGCTTCGCTTTCTTTGGAGTCAAAAGAAATACCTGCTCAAGGCAAAAGATCTGCTCGAAACACGCTTACGAGATGACGGATGAGGACCCTCTTCTCAGTAACAAGTCAAAAGTTTACGGGACCCTCTGTAATGACTATGAAAATATTATCATATCTTACACGAAGAATGGTGCCTGCGAGGTCTAGAACTCCATCATGCTCAATAATGGTAAGGCTAGCATATTTTCCAAACGAGAACGCACTTCATATGTTCAAAAGTTCCTCATAAATGACCCCTAATCTTACCGTTTAGATTGCACTGCTCTGCCTGAAAAAGTTAAACAAAAATAGAGGTATGATTACGATTTGATTAAGACACCCTACCACGGGGGTTTGGAAGACTTCCTTGGAGGAGTTCTGAAGGAAGGTTTGGGAGACTTCCGTAGCCTCAAATGGGGGGAGGGGGGATGCAAGTGGCCTTCTCAGGAAAATTCTGAGATATTGAATCGTTTGAGGAGTAATTTTGAGCAATTCTTACTGAAATGTGATTGAGTACAGTTTCAAGTATGAAGTATGTATCACTCACTTATGTTCGCACAATTTCTAACATTTTTAGGAAGAGTCGAGGAGATTTCTGGGTGGGGGAAGGCCGATAATTCCCTAGCTCTGCCCGTGCAGAGAATAAATACAGCATTTTCAAATGCACCCTCTGCTTGACTGCATTTCAAAATTATCTAATTACGAAATAAAATTTGGCTAAATATAAATCAGAAACGCTATGTTTTACGAGTGTAACACAGAAAAAAAGGTGAGGAGTGATAAGCAGAGTAAGGTAATTGTTTTACGCGAGTTTTTGAAAGAACTCGCAGATTTTGAACAGGATTGAGCAAATCCGAAAACGCATCATTCATGAACTTCGTGATACTTTTTACGAAAAGTAACCGCAATGTGTCTCAGGACCTGCGCACTTGTGTCGAAAATCAAGATTCGATATTTCTGACATTTTTAGTGATAAACACTCAGAGAAGGGGATCTGTGCTTCTTGCTTTGAGTTTTGAAGCTTGACCGAAAAATGAAAATCAATGTACCTTTTGTGAGAACATCCCTCCATTTTTTTCATTTGTGTCCCGTTTGAAGGATCGGTTGAGGTTTAGACGGACTGAATAGATATCCTTAAATGCGCACTAGATTTAGCGATGCACGTGGGAGAGCAAAAATAGAATAACAGATTCAAGGGCCGAAAAGTTTGTATTAGAACGAATTTGGAAGAATTACAGTTTTACTAAGATGGTCACACTTGTGCCAGAGGGGCGAGAGACGGCATACATGCCAGGCATGGGTCAGGTGGTGAAGGACCATGAGAAAGGGGCAGCACACGCGTTTATAAACTTAATGACGTCACGAGTGGCGAGGCATCAAGTTTACACGCTATTGGCTGGCTATAATCAGTGGAGCTATCAGTTGCAAGTCTAGTCATTAATTTTATATGCGATGGTTGGATGATAGAGACGAAAAGATGAAAATTGGACGAAATCCAGCCATCCCTAATGACTAGATTGAATTTGAAATAAAAAGTTAGAAGTTGAAGAAAAATGAGGAGAGGTTCCGTTGAGGTGCCACGGTACACGCGACAATTTGTCAAACACATTTTTGTTTTTTGGTAGTACAATACCCCCACTCTCAAATGGTGGCGCACAATAATTAGCTAAAATCCACTTGTGTTAATACTTTTTTTCTTCTTCTTTTTTCAGAAAAAGCATTAGTGTTCATGTTAGGACTAGCACTGCTAGCAGCTTACGTTTCATGCTCTATCAACCCTAGCCAAGGACTTGTAATGTTGAAGCCGTGTGCCAAGAGATGCCATTCGTATTTTGTACTGTTCAGACTGTAAAAAAATCCTTTTATCCATGAGAATTGCATACTCGTGAAAGAAACCAGGACCAGATGAACTACAACCAGCTACGCAAATTAGTTTTGCATGTCATGATAGAACTAGAGGGAGGAGGGAGGGGATTAAATTTTAAACGAAATGGTGTATTTCCTTCTCGAAGGGCGAGAATTTTTCGAGCATGCGTCTCTTCTGGTCTCTCACTTTCAGCAAGCAGAGTATGCTAATCGGACTGCATTTTGCCATTTGGAACTATAAATTCTGGCTCATCTGAAAAAACACTTATGTGCATATGGAAACTAATGGCACATACGTTGTTTTTAAACCGGGCTAGAATTTATATAGTTCTAAATTGCAAAATGTAGTCCAATTTTTCTCTCAGCTCCATATCGACGGTGAAACTACTAGATCACGTGCCTCGGTTTGCGACGTTGTGGACCTCCTGTCATACTTTATTTTTTGAATGGAAACTACTCAACGGCAATTCTTGAAACTTCCGTGTTTTTCCTTCCCTGTGCGAAGAAAATCCTTTGAAAATGTCAACCAATGATACTGATCGGTCCTCTTTCAAAAATAAAATATGCGAGCGGAGATTTTTAAACACCGCAAACGAGATACCTACGTGGTCTGGCAATTTCACCGTTGATATACACTGCGAGTTAAAGCGAGATATAGGATTGATCTTAAAATATGATCATCGCTACTGACTGATTCTAAATGACTGCTCAGGTGATAGGAATCGAAGCCATGGATTCGTCCTCAGGTTTGCATCGACCGCTTAACAGCAAGACTGTTAGCTAGTTTGCGGTGCTTCAAAATCCTGGCTCCCATTTTATTTCATCAGAGGAATAGAGAACAAAATAACACAACGCTATTGCTTATGAAATTTTCGCAGAGTTTTTTTCGAGCAAAGAGGAATAAGCAGGAAAGTTTTCAAAAAGTAACGTTGAGTATTACATTTCGAAAATTTATTAAGACATTCTTCATGTCTCCTTTTTCTTTTTCATAAATTAAGGGACTTCTAGAGTTTTGTGCCATTGTACCGTTTGTACCTGTACCAATGTGTGGACCAATTTTTCCGGCCCTCACTTGACTTAAAAAATCTTAATAAATCCCTATATGTTTAGGAAAAAAAGTGTTCTACGTATCAGGGAGAAAACTAGCTTCATGTTTCCAATCCGGACACCCCCCCCCCCCCCAAACTCGACTCCTCGTTGTCATTTTAATCGCCAAAAAGGAAATAACGGGTGACTAACGCGGCCAGAAAAATTGAACTTATACCCATACGTGAATTTAGCCGTCTCTGTATATATTAGAAGCTCATGCTATAGTGGAAAGCTTATGTTTGTATGTACATAGAATCAGAACGTTTTCTTGTAATGTCTTAGCTCACTGTATGTTTTCTATGCTCAAAAAATATATAATTACCTATGTTTAAAATCATGGCTTGTTCAGTATCCTTATTTTTCAAACGAATGGAGTATTTCCTCTACTGTGTCATAAAATTGATAAGCTAGCGTAGCACTTCAAATTTTGAAAGTTTTTCAGGTGAGACCTATTGAGGCCCTCTTGAAGGAGGGTGTTGTAAGTTTTTCTTTAAAAAAAATATATAAAAATAACGCCTTAATGCACCTCCAAATTTTGGTCAAGTCCGTCTTCAGTGTGCGAGGACCATTTCAGGTAGTCTCACAGTTAATTTTATCTTTTAGCGGATTTGATATGAACAGATGCATGTTATCGAAAGCATCATCCACCTTCAACCACCTGGGAAAATTCTCTATTCCCAAATTGGTGAATCCTCGAAACACACTGTTTATCGATACTTTCCCATACGTTTAAATGGCAGATTCACCGGTATATAGCGAAGCACGCTGGGCCACTGGTATAGATGTGATTGTGAAGTTCGGCAGCTGAGAAGACGGACACAGGATAATGTTAAGAGAAATGGAGATGGAGTCAGCAGGGATTTCGAAAAGGGATTGAGTTATACGTCGGATCACGGAGGTCAAAAATGGCATCGCATCCGACGTCATGACCAAACAGTTAGAGTCTGGTATGAACATGCTAACCATATGAAGGTCGAAAGGCTGCCAAAGATGCTCGATTTGGCTCTCCCTGGAAAGGGACGAAGAGGAGGACCAGTAAAAGAGTAGCAATGTCATGAAATATAGAATATTCCTCTTAAAAACTTGTTTTCAAAGGAAACTCTCAATTCTTTACAAAATTAGTGAGTGTGAGGGGTAAACATGGTCATTATCTGACTCAGCCTATTAAATATATCAGTGCCTTCCGGCAAATTCCTGGTGTTTTTGGGGAAAAAAATAATAATAATTTGTAAATCACAACTTTCTGCGTGTATATGAGGGAGATAAGAGTATATTTTTAGTTTTAGACACTTTTTTTTTAAATTTTCACGAAGAGCTACGAATAAATGCCATATTAAAGGGGATGGAAAATCAATAAAGTGTTCACTGTACGTGATACTAGTAGAATTCGTAACTTGGCAGGTGACAGGAACAGAGTGGCACGGTAGGGGTTGATTCCGCGGTGAATATTTCCAGTCGTCACGCAGTCATACTAAATTTCTCCACGGGACGGGTGAGTCCTGCAAACAAGAAGTAGTATCTTGGGAGGTTAAAGTTTTTAACTTGGAATAATTTTAAGTTCAGGCGCTCGTGTAAGTGAAGTCCGTTCATTTAAAATTAGCGCTAAACGGAAGGACCAATGAGAGGACTGTCGCACTAGGACTACCATAGCCAATCATCAGCCACTTCAAGACGTCATCGCCAGTGTTTTTGTTTTCACGAAGTATCATAAAATTGTGACCATGGCTGAAGCTAAATCTGAAGTTAAAGCTGAAGATCAACAAAATTTTGCCGTAGGTAACAACAGTGACCCTAAAGATATGCAAGAGCTCACTAATTATGTAAGTAGGATCTTGATTCCAGGCTTATTGAGTCATCCGTTCGACCATGTATTTTCTTGTTTTTAGGTTAGAATTCATCGAACCTCAATAAGAAGTTTATGCTCATTCAATAAAATAAAAGTAAATATGTAACTACATTGCACTTTAGCATAGTGTCAAGCAGTCTCTTGGCCTGCAGGAGGGTTAATGAAAGATTCAGATGGTCACCGCCTGTAATGTAGGTTCCGCCCTCCAATCCAGGTTTGACAGATCCCAGCCGGAATTGAAGATTCTTTCATGGTGTCGAGTGGGATTTGTTACTTTGCTCTGTGAAACTACTTTGATTTCAGGAGCCTTTTTGAGTGCATCGGCAGTATTGATTACCATCGAGCTCTGTCGTACTATAGTCCATAGGTACTTATCACTGAAGCAATAACATGACACTGCCTGCACGATCTAATCGTGCTCTTACATATCAAGATTTATCAGGTAGAAAGAGTTTGTTCATCAAAGTCTGAGTGGTAATATTCAATACATTTAGATATTTTCAGCAGATAAACCAGGATACTGGCAAATTGAGCTGCATTGCTCTGAAGGGAACGTTGAGGAACAGTATTATTAAGCATTCAGTAGTTCATGCATGATCTTGTTTTACTGATAGACACTAATGCAAAATGAAATGATATTTTGGTTAACATGTACATTTCTGTACGTAAATATTCACTTTATCTCCAGCTTACACACCTTAACATTCTACCTATTACTTATAATATGGACTGTCAGCAGCACTGTCTGTATTCTACATAGAGTACATAGAGTCGTAATGTAATTGGGAGAGCTGGCGCCACTTTTAAGCATTTTCCATTTCCCGAATTCCGAGACTCCTGTGTGACGCCGGGTCACTTTTTCGATACATAATCGATTGTTTGCGATACACGGGTACCCGGCCATCCGATGACAACAACAACAACAACGGAGATAGGAATTACCACGTACTCCACACCGCCATTTTGGATCGAAAATGTATCGAAAAAGCGACCCGAACTCGGCGCACACCGGGCTCGGAATTCGTCGAGCAGAACATGGCGCCAGCTCTCCCATTTACATTACGACTCTATGTACTCTATGGTATTCTACCTTTTATGGAAATCTCATGTATCAAGGCGGAAAGGAAAAAATACAAATCTTTGATTGGAATGCCAGCACATATGTCTTAATTTTATAACTGATAAATGGCCAATGGTTTTTTGGGAATATTCCTCACTCATTGAAAAGTATTCTTAACAAATTTCAACAAGATATTTTGATAGTTTTCTGCTCCTAAAAAACAGAACATAATTGGAAATTTTGAAGAATGCAATGGAGTTAGTACGCAATTTTTTACTCCAGGCATTGATGTAGATTGTTGAGCTGGGTTCTGTTGAGGACTAGTATTTTTATAATAAAAAAAATTTCTATTCTTATGTAGATCAGAGTTTTTCTTGTAAGAGCAGTTAAGTATGTTTTGAATTCATTTTTCCACTTGTTTGTACTTTACCCTTGGAGATTGTAATTTTGTTTTTTTCTTTTGTTCGCAGATCCAAAATATCTTACAGCAAATGCAAGATAAGTTTCAAACCACCTCAGACCAAATTATGACAAGAAATATCCTTTTTATACAGCTTTTACAATTTTCAGGACATCCATTCACAGAATGTTTTATTTTACCCTTAAAAAAAAGCTGAGCGATGGCTAATGTCAAAAAATGTGTAGCTATATCATAAAATAATAGCTACCAGAAAGGTGACTGGCAGATTCTTCCGTAAGATAGCCACTTTTTCGAAGCGGGCATGGAGTTGTTTTACTGCGAAATTGGAACCGCCAGCGGGGGGTTGGGGGGATTTCAAATATCGGAGAAAAGCTGGTCAACTGCTGCCCTTCTGGTAGCTATTTTTCCATGTTTGCATTGCAATGTTTCTAAATCCCCAACTATGTCAGATTTTTTAGGGAAAACCAAACAAAACATCTCCTCGGAATTTTCTGTCGTCATATTAGAACAAGTGAAAAAAATTCTCAATAAATTTCAAGAAAAACAGTCGGTTGGTCTGCTTATAAAAAGGTTTAGCTTCAAAAAAATTTACAGTTTTGCAATTGGACTAGGCTCTTTTCACCTTCAGCCGTCGCTGCCCTCTATTTCATTTCCACCAGAACTGACCGCTGGGCAAACCAAAGCACCACAAAACATGTCTCCTCATAAAAAGCCAATGTGAAATGCATTCTACATTACTGAATGAAGTTGTATATCATATTTTACTTAGCTGTCGTTGTTCACATTAAAATCGGTCAATTCAAAATTTCCATGCAGTGACAGTACCAAGTTCAACCCAGGTTAAATTGGCCTTTGAAAATCCAATTTTTAGGTAAATAATTACTTAAAGTTAGATTTCATAAGAAGCATGTTCTCTTTGCACAGTACCTACCTACTCTTGTCAAGAACAATACAGCATATTACAAATATTTTTTCTTTGTAAGAAAATTGCACCTGAATTAACTCAGTTCTGAATATGATTGGAGTGGATCTTAATTTTTTGCAAGCAGGAAGTTTAAATTTATGAGCATGAAAAACTTGTTTCTCTCTTACAAGTTGGGATCGGAAATTTTCTATGCGTCCTCGCTATTTTACATGAACTTTTAATGAGGACATGTGTATTGCAGCACTTTATTTCTTACCCCGTGTCATAGAAACATCATCCCTATTTTACGTTGCAGGAAGTTTAGGTATTGTGAATACAGATGGAAGACATTGTAAAGGCAGATGAGATAGTGCGATAAAATAGGTGAGGCCTGAGGCCTCTTTAGGCAGAATATCGGCAATGCTCTGAAGTATACACAGTATTTTTGTAACTAGAAATGTACATTATTTTTTCAGGCCAAACTACTCAAACAAGTGACCATAACATAATATTGACCATAACTCTAATTAACAGAATCACCTGACAAATTCAATAAGTATTCCTACAATCGTCTAAATTAATATTTGACATTATCATTTAAGTAGGTACTTGCAAAAGTTTCAAAGCAAAAATTAAAATAATCCTGGGATATCTATCAACCTATCATATGAGCTCAAATGGCTCTTGTGAAGTTTTGATTGATAAAGAGCAAGATATAAAATCCAAAATTTTGATGAAAGGCAGAGTAAAGAAACATACCTAGGAAAAAACTGTACTGCACACACGCTATCGAAAGGAGCTATGAAATAGGTCTTCTTCTTTGAGCCCAAGAACTAGTTCCTAGGCTTACTCTACTGTTGAGAGATCTTCCAGCAATAAAAGTAATTTGCCGCTTATCAGAAGGATATGCTCCTGCATCGAATGAGATTCGAAGCAATGCTAAAATGTAAGTCTTGAAGCCTTATTTTTTGTGCTTATTTTTAAACTTTTAAATTCTTACCTCTCATTTTTAGTGCATTCCTTAACCTTTCCACACTAGATGACATGGCAAATCGAATTGATGACCTAGAAAAAAATATTGCTGATCTGATGTCTCAAGCCGGAGTTGAAGGAGGAGATAAATGATATACTATGCCCATGCGGTCATTATCCTACCAGTAAAGTCTAAAGCTCGAGAATGGCCGTAATCATCGTCTGTACTTCACTGCACCCAACTAGTCAAGTTTAAACTTTGTTCTCTCTTCGTATCTTTTTAGTGTTTTGATTTTAAAGAGTTTGGCTATTTTTGAGAGCTCAAATTAGTTAACATTATGCCAATAAATCAGTGACAATGACAAAAGGTCATGGTAAGTTGCCCAAAATTTGATATTTTGACTCTTATTTTTATTGGAAAATTTTTTCCAGGGCAGCTGTAAACCTAATTCTTATCATTGGTATAAGCCAGAATGCCTAAATTAAGTCCAAGAATTGTATAATTTTCAGTTTTGAGTCAAAAAGTCATAGTATTATTCTATTGTACTGAGAGAAAACACTATGGGAGCCTTCAGACACTGCCAAATTCACCTCCATTAAACATAAATTTTTCAGGAAACTCTTGAATATTTTTCTTCCGATCGTTCCGAGAATTATTTGAAATTCAATTCAAAATGGATACATATAAACTTGGATAAAAATATTCATAACTTTTTTCAAAAAGAGGCTTTCTTCAGGGGAAATTTGGGAATGTCTGAGTGCTCATACAGCGTTCTCCCTTAGCGTGGCAGCATAGTATTTCTTTGATTGCAAAGATTAAGCTAGAGATCATTGATTCAAACCAATAACAAAAACATTCCAATTATCTTCTTTAGGAAGGGCACGCAGCCAAACTGCAAAACAATTAAAGTTATTTAGGTCATAACTAGCACATTCTTTCTTCTTGTCATATAAATTGTATGGTCCAAGTGCCTCAATCAGAACTAGCGTGAAACCTATGATGCCTCAATCAATTCAAATGGAAGAAAAAAGGCACTAATCACAATTTAAATCATAAATTGTATTTAAGGAAGAATTCGCAACTCAAAAATCTACTTTATTTATCATAATGTTCTCCCCACTAGGATACGAAAGTTCAGTGCAGAAATATGGTCTTAGACATGTAAGATCGTCAGAAAGGAGAAGTTTCATTTTTCCATCATTATTCATTTATTTTTTTCTAACACCGTGTCAATCAGTTGGCAGTTTTTTTTTGTTATGTCTTTAAAATAAAACACGTCTTACAAGATGAACTTTGATATTATGTCCATAATTAAACTTATTATTGAAGCAGTGAGTTAGAAATATTTGCAATTGCATCCTGTAACCAAAGAGTTTCAGGATCCTCAGTTGTGTTGTAAGTATTTCTGAAATAAAAATTTACTATTTTTATGTTCAAGCTCACACCCTGAGTTCAAAATTGGAGAAATTCATTATCATGAGAGTTCTCAATGGGGGTATGCTCAGTAGTTGTATCTAAGTTCTTCAATGGGGATTTCTGAATGATTCTGAATCATTCACTCTCCCTCTCGTTTTCAAGCCTGAGCTAATTTCTATGAACTCAATGTCAGTGGGACTTATTCTGTTGCAATAGCCAGAATCAGGCACTTTGTAAATATATTCTCTCTCTATAATCATGATGTTAGTCCTTTAAGTTTATAACTTGAAGAGTGGGAAGGCAAGTTTTATTTCAAACTGTTCTCTTTTCAAATTTCCATACTAAGGAATATCTTATTTTAATTTTCTAGTACCTCATATTTCCATTTTTAGCTTTACTTATATTATGTACATACCTCCAAGGAATCGTCTAAGATTTGGTGTTGTGTATGACCTACAATTTGTGTCAAAAGATAGCAATATTCGTGTCTCATTTTTCCTACACATAATCCACCTCTTATTTAAGAAAATTTCTCAACTGTTAAGTTTGTTTTTAAAAATTACTTCTCTTTCCTTTGATCATCGCCAGAGAAAGTGAAATGGAATAATTAGGACACAAAATTTGATTTTAACGTTTAAGTAGTGCACAGATATTACAACTTAGGCCCATGATGGGATACTTGCCAACTTTCTTAAAAAATGACTCTAAATTCTTGAAAGTCCATTTTTCTCAATGAATTTAACTTCTACATCTGCTTAGAATATGTATATATTCTGTGAAAATTTGTTAGATTGAATCACAGATGAAATTTTGATAATCAATAGTATAGTGCATAAGAATCACTTAGAGACATAAAGAAGCTTAAAAGGAGAGGCGCTTATCTTTATAAAAGCTGTAGAAGCGGAACACCTTGCTGGCTGCATTCTTAATAGTATTTTATTCTAATCTACCTCTTCTTTACTCTGAATATGTTTTCCCCTTAATTGTCTAAGAATATTAAAAAATTGTATGAATTTTGTACCTAGTCTTCATCAAGTATATTCTTGCTTTTCAAAGTTTTAAGTTGACAAGAATTATAATCTTTTTTCAATTTATTTCAAATCGATCACAGCGATCCTGTACATTTTAAAACTCTAAGTCGCTTTCAATTCTAGCTTTTTCAATTTTTTTAATTAGCAGTGTATGTATTTCCTTTTCAGCATGCCAGTTAGAATATTAGTAGAAATGGCTTGCATTTCCATATGGCTACAATTTATTATGAATTAGTAGCACAGAATCACTCTTTCATGTAGGCTGATTTTTAAATATTTTTGAATTGATCATTACAATTTTCATCTTTACGAATAAATAATTTTTACGTTCCTAAAATCCTTTCTTTTTCATTTTCAATATAAGCCTTGACACCTTTCATTCTCCTTATATTTTGTTTTATTGTTTTATATTTGTTGACACATTACTTTGAAATGGGTATGTGATCCTCATAATAAAATATTGAAATACCTACTCATTCTGGGCATGCACTAATGCTGCAAAAACACAATTTAAAAATTTCACCAAAGAAGAAATGTTCACATATCGTAAAGAAAATATTTCTCAAAGAAACTGGCTACTTAATATAAATTATCAAACCCCTCAAAACGTACTGAAAATGATTTATTTTAAATGCCTAGGCACTGTAAATTGAATACCTAATTAAAAATGGAGCATTCTAAAGCAGTGGATTTTATAACTCATATTCAATTTTCATACAGGGAAGGGAAGAGTAGGTAATGTATGTACCTATGTGTAACTTGACTTTTCTCTAAAAAATGTAGGAACTCTGAGATAATTGCCGATCAGCCGCGTACTTGTTGCAATTGAGTTTGAATTTTTACCTAAAAGAAGGCATGAGTATTCCTACAGCATTCCATCACGGTCTTTCATGAAAAAGCCTCAAGGGATTTTACAAATTCTAGATTTTCCCTCTTTGTAGAGCATGGAGGGAAAAAAATCGGGTGTGAGATTTTTCTTTGAGATTCTCGTTTATTTCCATTACTTATATACTGTGAAAATGAGCTGAAGAGGCAGTAGCAGAACTTCTTTAAAATAATCAATCTAAAAAAGAAAACCTTCCACTCTTCGATCAATAGATGCCTGGTTGAGCCAGTCAATGAGTATTTAACTTTCATCTTGCATACCTACAGTATGATAGGTCTTCACCTCTATTAACCATATCTTATAGAGAAACGAGAAATGCTTGTCGGGCGAGGAAGGACTCAAGGAGCACAGGATGCAAAAAACTACGACCACATGGTAAAATTATTGCTGTTTTATTGAAGTAGTGTGTATGTCTGCTCACTGACCGAAAAGGCCCCTCTTCCTCTTATTGAAATTTATTGTAATAAAATTAAAATATGTCAGTTGCTTTTTTTTTACTTTTTTTTCTTGAGCCTATTTGTATCACACATAAAAAACGTTTCATAGATCCATTGCCAACTGCATTTCTTGCCAAAATTTTGTAAGATTATTGCATTTTTATCACAGAGAAATAAAAGGATGTGTTTGTATTTTGGGCATCTTGGACTTTTTTGATGACGTAGGTCGGTACGACAATTTCTATCATCGATTTTGTCGGAAATGGTGTAGTTTATGGAAAAAAGTCATTCAATATTAAGTGTTTGAAATTATATCATGAGTTGATTTAAGCAAAAAAATCGGACGTTATGGTCTTTTTTGCATACTTCGAATTCCGGATTTTGCTGGAGTACCTGTGCCGACCTACGTCACGGGGTATAAAAACGAAAATGAAGGCCAACTTAACGTACCAACTCACCTGGTCAATTTCTGCAACGACTCAAGCAGGGCCGGATTTAGGTGGTCCGCGGCTCATGGTGGCAAATTCAGGGGGGCGGCAAATTTTGCAATTTTTTTAAACGTAGGTATAAAAAAATCAGATTCGGGATTACATTACAAACGAGAAGAGGCGACAAAATCTCTCATTTCCTGAGAATATGGTAATTTTTGATTTTGTCGTCTTCCGGTGATACAAGAAACAGCACCTTTAATTAGTCGAGTTATGAGAGAACCCAAACACACAATTTGGCCTGGAGCGGCGCGGCGCAGAGAGCAATGATGACGAGGACTCGAGATGAGAAGGAGAAGCCCTCAGTGCGGCGGTTGGCATGTAAAACATATTAGCGCCTACAAGACTACATGGATACTTCACGCATTGCGTGAAACGCAGTGCGGTCGGCGTGAAACGCATAGCGCCTACAAGACTGCATGAATACTTCAAGCATTGCGCCGAACACAGTGCAGTTAGCGCGGCGCGGCGGCGGTTGTTAAAATTATTAAACAACATTTTTATTTGTTCTTTCATAATTTTTTCGTTCATTTCTTATAAATTGAGGGCCTTGGCCACACAGAGATAGGTTTACGGGACTTGACTTTCGCGCAAAGTTCCGTGTTTTGCTAGTAGTGTTGACAGGGCTTTCGCAAAAAATGTGTCCGACACGAGTAAACGCGTCTTATATGCACCTCCTAGTCCTCTTCGGCACGTTCACTGGATGGTTTTTATTGATGTTTCAAAACGGAGGAGAAGGGGGCGACAAAATACAGGCGGCCGGCCCATGGCCGGCAAGTAGGTAAATCCGGCCCTGGTCTTAAGTCGCATACAATGAAAATGAATGCCAACTCAGCGTACTTAAGCGCGAAGCAACTATTCGAGCACCCGAGCGTGGCACAGCATCACTCAAAATTGAAGGCGAACTTAACATATCAACTCGCGGATTCCCGACGTGACATAGCGACCTGTCATTCCGTGAAATGGGGAAAGAAAGTGTCCATTCCGCGGAATGGCCTAATCCGTAAACGGGGTGTAACACTGTAACACTCATGAATAGTCGGCCAATTTACATTATGATATCATGCTCCTCGACTCTACAAGGGAATGATATAGGCATATTAAAATGCCTTTTAAATTGTCGAGAATAATGATTTTGGTTTTCATTTTTTGTCCTGTTCATTAGTCACCTTTAGAGGACTGTAACGTGTACCCGGTGGGTTAAATTAAAACGATGTACCACTGCCAGGATCTGAAGCACTTGCATATCGAACAGGGGATATGCTGGGCGATGATGAAGGTGATGGATTGGCGGAGACCGACTGACCAAGTGAGATACGTGGGGCTGCGATCGGAATGCTCAGAGCAACCCTTTCTTTTCCACCATCTTCCGATCTGCCATCCTCTTCCTCCTTCCTTTTGCCTTTCTCCGAGATCCGGTCCTCTTGCACCACATCATTGTTGCCCTCGTTTAAGCTCTCGTCCGATAATTTTTCTCCGGTTCCTGTCGAAAAAGTCTGTGGAAAAAAAGTGACGGCAATTAATAATCATCATACATTTCCGGCTTCAAAAAGTTTGCTTACAAAAAAAAAAAAAAAAAAAAAAAAAAAAAAAAAAAAACCATTTGAGGGTTTTGAAGCTTCCAGCCCACGCACAAAGTAGGGGCTTCCAAGAGGCTCATCAATGGAACTGTTGACTGTTGCCTTTCAAAGATCGTCGGGCCGAAGATCTTTGAAGGTGATCGATGTGTTTAAGACACATCACAGATGAGATCTTGGAATTTTCAAGGAATTTTATGCAGAAATTGTTGACAAATTGAAGAATTAGTGCCCGTTTGAGAGCTCCAGTTTAATCGTTGGTTGGACGCTTTAGGCACTTGAAGTACCTAATGCGTCAGCTAGTATTCGGCATTTCCGGTTACATTAGCTGATCGCCGAAATCACTCTCTGATAGCGCGAAAATTACAACGTCAAGTCAATATTTACCGGCATGCAGTATTTTGCATTTCCGGGTTTTCCTTCAATAGTTGATCGCCGGAAACTTTCGCTCATTGCGCGCAAAAATATATAGGTACAGCGCCAAGTGAGTATTCACCGGCAATGCTGAATATTTCTGCTTAGTACTCAATCGACACTAACGCAACTTAGAGATTATGAAGAAAAAGTTATACATTCGAATAACGCTGTCAGCCACATTTTGGGATGGGTCATTTTTAGGCATTTTCGCACCTCTACTGTCGTGCTAAGGAAAAACGCCGATGAACCTTCAGGTCTTGTCAAATTTCCATTTATAAACCACGAATTTTCTGGTGAGCTTAGGAATATTCTTCGTCCAATTTTACCTAAAGTTCCTGAAAATTCCAAGGATAAATATCCATAACTTTCCCTAAAAATGCACATTTTATTGAAGGAAATCTGGCAACTCTCGAATGTTCATACGGCGTTTTTCCCTAGCACGGTAGTATAACGCCCCTGCTCCGGTTAGGCTGACAACGGGTTTTAAGATCGGGGAAAAAGCTCAGTCGATTTTCGAAAAGTCAAGTTTGAAGTGGGACACCAAAATGGCAGCGAAATCTCGGACTATTACAATTCGAATCCTCATCAAGTACAAGACTGCTGAGTTGCTCAGTTCTCTGCCTATAAATGCACGTTGACTGTGGATAATTAGCGACGGTATACCACCTGTGTAACAGCAGCCCTGGTAAAAATTGGCGATAGGAACTACGTTTCAAAATACCATAGGAGTTCTTATAGCCGACTGAAGAGGGCGATAGAAAATCATATAGCTGGCTCCAGAAAGTGGAAAAAATCATACGGTCGGGCTACACGAAGCGATAAAAAATTATACAGCCGGGCTATTGTTCCTATCGCCGGGCTTTACACTTTATCGCCTGACTGTTGCTTTTTCGCCATCGGCTATAAAAGGCTATAAGAAATTGAGTAGAAATTCTTGTGCTTTGTAAATCCTTAAGTTTGTACGGAATCACCTTAATATTTACAAAACGCACATTATATTTTCCTTTACTACATATTTTTTTTCATCAACCAAAATGAGAATAATCGATACGGAGTGTGCAAACATTTCAAAGTCATGAGTTGAAAAACGCTGACTCCACGATATTAAATATAAGAGGCTAACACAAAGCGGAGCGGCGGCGCACCGGCGCCTACAAACCTAACGGGGATACTTCACGCATTGCGCAATGCGTGAAGTATCCCTGTTAGGTTTGTAGGCGCCCATGCGCGTTCCGCGCTGGCTGCCCGCCTGCCGCGCCGTAGCGTACCGCGGCGCTTGAAGCAACTATTCCACACCAGAGGTATTGCACAGTATCATACGAAATTGAAGGCGCTCCAACATCTTAGGAATGTCAGGCATCCTTCAAAAGAACGGGGCTTTCCTCGCAAATTAAATCAAGACACTGCGGTCCAAGAATAGAGCGGTAGTCCAAAAACTCACTAAGTCCTAGCATCCGTAATTAGTAACGTTTAGGTTTATCGCCACTTTATCGCCAGGCTGTTGCTTAGTCGCCATCGGCTATAAAAGGCTATAAGAAATTGTATTGCCGGCTATAGAAGCTATTGGAAATCTTACAGCCGGCTGTAAGTCTATGGTATTTTGGAACACAGATTCTACTGCCAATTTTTACCAGGGAGATGAGTATGGTTATAAAGCAACGATATATTAAACTCACCGCATCCTCTGGATTTAAATTTTCTTCCGAATGCGGAGACGTAGATGTTGATCTAGGTAATTCAATAGCCAATTCATTGACGAGACTCATGATCGAGCTTGTCTGGGAGATCGTCTTTGGTATCGGAAATCTACTCACAGTTGAATGACGCGCCGAAAAGTTTGGGTCCGCCCGCAGAACCGAGCTGAATTCCTGCAGAAAATTAAAGAGGCATGATGAGTAAGGGTCTGATAATCGCTAACAAACTTCTTGAGGAACAAACAACAACATAGAGAAATATTTTTAGTTAGGAGTTATATTTCCAAAATTTCTCGATTTCTTTTTCATCATCTGCCAAAACTGGAAAATAAAATAAAATAAAAAAAAAAAAAGCCCCTAGGACACGGGAAGATAATTATGTTGAATTTTTACAATTCTCAGGATAAAAGTTGGCAACATAGATACGTGAAAACATGTGTCCTCGTGTTATTTCCGGTTCCTATAGGTTGCGGAACTTGAAGATATCAAGGAAAATATGATGAAAGTGTGAGGAGAGGAGTCCCTTGGGGCTTGATGGGCCTCAGCAGTAGACCCGGCCCTAAATTTTTCTTTTTTTGGTTTTTTTGTTTTTTTTTTCTTTCTTCTATTATTATCAGTTGAATTTAATTTTATTTCTGATCCGGTAGAATAATTGGGTACCCCACTTTTCCGGGCAGATTAATGTTGTTCTTTATTTTATGTTTTACTTTTTGAATAAAAATATCTTATCTTATCTAAAAAAAAAAAAACCTGAATTGAGCTCACCTGAACGTCTAGTTCCTCGTCGATCATCGAGACGATATGGAAGCCCTTAGTGAGGAGCTCGAGTGCTTTGGAGTGGTACCTCATTTGAATTTTGAGAAATGACTGTAGCATGGATTTCAGATCCCTCACTTTCCGCAGCTCAAAACCCTCCATGAGATCCTCGGTGGATGCTGTGCACCGCTGCAGTTGACCTGTCACTTTCACCAGTTCAACCTCGGCATTTGACTGCAGTTATGCAGCCGTCAAGGAAACTACTCATCGCACAAGCGGTGAATTCATAGAGAAAAAAAAGGAGGCATTTCGGGCATCTTGGCATTTTTTTGATGACGTAGGTCGGTACAGCGACGTTTATCATCGATTTTCTTGGAAATGGTGTAATTCATGGAAAAAAGTCATTCTATAAAAAGTGCTTGAAATTATATCATGAGTTGATTTAAGTAAAAAAAAATCGGACATTATAGTCCGTTGTTCATATTTCGAATTCCAGATTTCGCTGGCCAGGTTGTACCGACCTACGTCACAGGGTAAACAAACCTCAAGATGCAAACACCTCCTTTTTTTTCTCTATGCGGTGAATTTCATCAATTGAGCTCTTGCATGTGTCCCGGATTTGCAATACAAGTACTTTTTCCACGCCAGAATCACGATGGTTCCAGCGCTTTTTTGTGAAATCGACACCCAAGCTCAAAAAACGCGCTCAAAATTCACGCCGCAATAACCTGATTGGCATTTTTCAACGGTAAAATCGCGAAATTTTGAAATTAAGTTCCGATTTTATTTACGATTTTTTGGCAATTAAATCACTGAGATCATCAAAATCTGAGCGATTATCCTCAATCTCGTCGGAATTTTTATCTCTGTGACGTCGCGTTTGATAAAATCGAAATTTTATCTCAACTTATCACGATTTTTCGTTCGATAAATCGCTGTCGATAAAATCGCGATTTTTTTGCAACTTTATGCGATGAAATCGCAATTTTGTATTCGATAATATTGCAATAAATCGACTTGGATTAAATGGTGATAGCTTTCCGATCAAATCGCAACTTACCGCAATCACTGCATGCTGCATGCTACTTGTGATGGGGGGTATCTTACATTATCCGCCCACCCTGCTATGTATTTTCACCCTATCTGTGCACGAAGAGTTTGACTGGATATAGAGGGGGACTCTCAACGTAGCGTCAGCTATCCCATTTATTACGGCCTGAATTTAAAGCGACTTTTTTGAGCCCGGGAGTTAATTGCAGAGAGAATCGGTATCGTGTTTCTCGCACGACCGAGGGTGTGTGCCTGTGCATGGAGGTTTGCCCCTAAGTTATGGAGTGGACCGGTGGTCCACCCCAGCAAATTTTGAACATTTAAAGCTAGAAAACTCACGTTTTGGCAATTCAAGCGCAAAATACTTGCTTGCAGGCCCAAGGAAAGGCTCAATAGATTAGGGTTTTTGTTGCAAAATTTATACAGAAAACGACAGCTGTCAGGGAAATCTAAAAAAATATGGCATGAATCGAATAAATATCAGGAAAAATTAAGATGTAGGAAAATAGTAAATTTGCAAATTTGTAAGTTTTGGAGGAGATAAATATTGTCAGGAGGTAATGAGAGGGGACGATAGGAGGAAGCGAGATAAAAAAAAACCCATTTTTGGGTTGACATCACGGCTCAAGTTTTCTTTTAGGGGCACCGGATGGGCCCCTTAGTGAGCCGGGCCCCGGTAACGTGGGTTCGGTGACCCCCTCCCCCTCTTCTTGACCCGATTACCGAAAAAACAAAACTACACAATTACTATTTTTTAAGTTATGGCCACCTCCGGTTTTTGCCGAAGCCTTGCATCAAGCAATTTTATGCAAATAAAGGATACGGTCTCTTGACGATTACGGTAACCTCTCTCTTTGATGCGATCAAGGTGTTTTCGCCTCATAAGTTGTTTATCCTTGAGCGAAATCAACTGTTTCAACTCCTCGCGAACTGGTTTAAATGCCTCATCGTAGGATGTGATTTCCTTGACCACCGCTGATTCAATCAAATGAGCCTCCTCATCCCTAGAAAGAAAAAATGAGAGGAAAATTATTCTCAAATATTTTTCTAACGACGAACATTTTTGTACTGGCACAGGAGGCTGATGAAACTCAACAGCGCCCTTACTTAAGCAGATGAATTCTGCGATAGGTAAATCAAACTTCTCAGCATCTCATCAGTGCCTTTAGGATTCTTGATCCGAACCTTGAGATCTACAATTTTACTCACCCATAGGTGCCGATCTGAATGAAGACATTAGCAAGATTTTTCAAGCCACTTTTCAGCGTGCTGTTATCAAATTCCGCCACTGAGTATGCGTGCATTGCCTTTGCAACAGAGTCTGTTTGGTCGCGAAGTCTGAAAAATAGAATGACAGCATTAACACAGCACAGTTCAAAAACCAATGTATCGTCACTAATTTTTGACAAAAATAATATACCCCATGAGAGAATCCCTAAAAATCGTCAGCGGCATTTGCCTTTCGAGTTTTCTTCCGGATTTTTCCTCTTTTCAATCTGTAAGATAGCGAGGAAGATTCAATGATTTTTTTTTTTTATACTTTTGAGGTCAGCAGGGCCGGATTAAGGGGGTGGCCACATGGGCCGCGGCCCATGGCGGCAAATCTAGGTGGCGGCAAATTTAAATGTAGGTATAAAAAAAAATCGGATTTAGAAAAAATAAATTACAAACGAGAAAAGGCTACAAAATCTCTCATTTCCTGAGAGTATATAGCAATTTCTAATTTTGTCGTCTTTCAGTGATACAAGAGACATCACCTTTAATTAGTCGAGTTAAGAGAGAAACCGAGCACACAATTTGGCCTGGAACGGCGCAACTCAGGGAGAAATGATGACGAGGACTTGAGATGAAAAAGAGAAGCCCTCGGCACGGCAGTCGGCATGTAACACATATTAGCGCCTACAAGACTACACGAATACTTCACGCATTGCATCAAACCCAGTGCGGTTATTGTGGTCAGCGTGAAACGGATATCGCCTACAAGACTGCACGAATACTTCACGCATTGCGCCAAACACAGTGCGGTCAGCGTGAAACGCATAGCGCCTACAAGACTGCGTGAATACTTCACGCATTGCGCCAAACACGGTGCGGTCGGCGCGGCGCGGCGGCGGGAGTTAAAATCATTAAACCAAATTTTGTGTTTGTTCTTTCATAATTTTTTCGTTCATTTCTTATGAATGGAGGGCCTTGTCCATTAGAGATAGGTTTACGAAACTTGACTTTCGCGCAAAATTCCGTGACCTTTTGCTAGTAGTGTTGACAGGGCTTTCCCAAAAAATGTGTTCAACACGAGTAAACGCGTCTTATGCACCCCTCTCCCGCTGGCACGTTCACTTGATGGTTTTTATTGATGTTTCTAAACGAACGAGAAGAGGCGGCAAAATACAGGCGGCCCATGGGCGGCAAGTATGATAATCCGGCCCTGTTTGAGGTTTACCCCAATGTTTTGGCATCGCCGAATCCTCGTTTATGGAAGTCTCCTGCGGACCGATTATTGAAATTGATAGACAAAGCTATAGACAAAGAAGACACAAGGGATTTGGAGGGATCCTGTTTGTGAAAGCGGGTGGTTGCAAAGGACAAAGGAGGCAGGTAATAGACTAACTATCGGCAACTCACGAGAAACCCGACAGTTAGTCTATCATTTTCTCCCTTTATCGATAGGAACCACCCATTTCAACCAATAGGATCGCTCCATACTCCCTATGTCTTCTTTGTCTATAGCTTTGTCCATCAATTTCAATAATCAGTCCGCTGATCGTCATTACCTAGACTCCGGGTCAGTGGCGAGGCATGAATCATCGACTATCGATAATTTTCCATTTCCCATTCCAGTGCCTGAAGTGGGCTTATTAAGTGCGACTATTCTCGACGAAGTCGAAACGTTTGTATTCAGTGAACATGAATAGCATTATAGTTACCTTGCTGCCATTTTGGCTGAGATGGCAAACGTTGATCCCAAATGCTGAAAATACTTTTCAACGGTAGCTAGCTTGTCTTGGATCAGCCTGATTTCTTGATTTCTGGAGTATGAACACAAGATAACTTTAGAAAGTTTTTAAACTAAAGATTCCATAGTATAAAAAAAAATATATTTTATACATCCCAAAAAAGTGAATAGTGATAGTGAGTCCACAGTCTATGTCTTGAAATGATTTACGGTAAAGTTTTTTCGAGGCCATCACTACTTTTTTATGCCTTTAAAAATGTCATAAAATTCCTCTTTTTTGCTACAAGCAAAGAGGCAATATCTTTATGTGCCCCCTTTGGAGGAAAAATAAAACATTATAATTTGAGAGGCTGCATGGAATTACGATTAAGTCGATGCGTCGATGTATGATTTGAGAGGCATTTTTGCGTGTACTTACAAAGGATCATTCTGGTAAAGAGTTGAAGATGATTTTGATAACTGCATGGTGAAGTGAACACAGGTCCAATTTTTTTTAACGTAAAATTGTTCCAGGATATATGTGATTTTGAGTTATAATTTTGTACCCTTTCTTTGGGTAAAAGTGGATACTAATTCACCCGAGAGTAGTGTCCATTCACCTCTGAAAATAATAAAGACATCATTAGACATTGTTGATAAGACATTAACTTGTATTGGAACAATAATAATTAGACGTGTTGTAAAATTTCAGTTCTTTTATTGAAAAATATTTTTAGAACTTTACCAAGTGCTGAAAAGCTTCATAGAAGAAGAACAAAAACACCCCACTTAATTGCTCAATTTTTTTAGAAATATGGGGGAGTGAATTTAAGTATTTGGTAAACACCGAATTTTTTTTTTTTACAATGTAGAGATTTTAGATCTCTCTCCTCGCATTATATGAAAAACTCAAAAGTGTTATTTTTTGAGCACTGTAAAGAGCTTTTGGGATCCAACTTTGAGGATATTTTTGATTTCGAATCCCCTTTCGAATAATTTCTGGCTGTGGGCTAGTGTAAAATAGGCACGCCTTTAACTTCCTATGAATTAAAGCCGTAAAATGTACATGGGCACACACAACTAATGTCACAAGGCTTGTATAAGAATAGGCGTAATTATTATTATTTTTTAAAAATAACAGTCAACTATAATGAGAAAAAGTTATCCTAGTACACGCAAAAGCACTACCATTGAGTGTGTCTATGAGTTGGTATACAAATGTGTATAGATTAAATAAAACACGAGTGAAAGTTTTAAAAAGCCAAAATGAAAGATTCACATTTTAGTGCATTTTCCGAAGGAAATACACTATTTTTTACTTTAGCTCTCGATATTATTATCGTTACGATCGTTTTTAGCGATACGCAAAAAAACGTTACGTTACGTTAGATACGTGAAAAAATCTTACCTCCTGACGAAAACCACTATGAAGGCGTAGATGGCCATGCTAGCTTTAGTAAGGTTTCAATGCTATTCCCATTAATTTTTTTAAATATCCTAAGATTGTCACGTAAACATTTGTAAATTGACTGGTCGCCCTGTTAACAAACGATTGTCAGAAAAATGAGCCCATTATTTCACAATTTAAATCGTTACCGCACTGTAATACAGTCAGTGTTTTGCTTTATTTGTCGCACATCAAACACACATAGCTGTGAAAATCCGGCTGCACGAAGACGACTCAAGGATAAACTTTGAATAATTCTCTATCACAAATCGGTAAATAATTATGAAAATACTTAGAATTTTAAATGCGGAGGGGTAACCTCGGGAACAAAACTCGACGCAGGCAACTACAAAGTATAAACAAATTTGCAAGGGAATCAAACGGATTTAAATAAACTCAACCCCTACAAACAGATGAAATCACAACGGAATTATTATTGCAAAAAAGAAGTTTAAAACATTGCATATGATTGCTTCTGTGTTTTTTTCAGAGTTTGTCTGCCATGTGGCGTATATTTATTTTCATTCAGCTGTATGGTTGCCATGGTGCCGCATGCAGCAACACCACTATTCACAAGCAACGAATGCACCAGGATTGTATTATACGTCAATTACCAGGAAGTGCTAGTACAAGACCACATCTGCGGCTTAGCGAGTACTCGTGTCTACCAAATGGACCTTTTCCATTTGGAGGTAAAATTATTAGGCAGAAAGTTAACAATGTAATCAATGTGGGTTACAATTCAGTAAACTGAAAATCTCAATACAGAGGGAAAAAGCTCACTCGAGCACAACTTTCCCTCTAAAAGATATGCTGTTTAATGCAACACTGTGGTTACGACCACGGGCGAAACTAGGAATTTTCTGCAAGGGGGGGGGGGCAAGGGATATAGAACTTGGGCCAAGGGGGGTCTGAGTGGACTACCTCAGCTGCAGAGGGGGTTCGGGGGGCCTCCCCCGAAATTTTTTCAAAATTTAAACGTCTGGAGAGCAATTTTTAAGCCATTCGCAATGACAAATTAAATGGAATTAAATATTACAAATGACAGCAATTTTGCTGACTTGTTTTAAAAATATCATATTTTACTGTGAATTTTAGTTCATTCAAAATATAACACTGTTGGGTTTTATTTCATTCCCTATGCCTTTTACCTCAACACTAATTAGTAGCTTGGGTCCTTGACATTTTTTGGAAGGGGCCGAGCAGAATTGTAGGTGGAACCGCGGGCCCCCTCCCGCCTTCCCTCCGATTTCCACACACGATTGCGACCATTCAGGAGGGCAATTTTGCAGACGCGTGGAACTAAACTTTCTGGCTCATACACAAGAGGATTTATCTGCAAAGGAAAAGTAACACCACTAATATTTTTTTCTAAATTGAGCCAAAATTGTAGTTCCTAATTGCAAATTGTAGCCTAAAGGACGCTGTGCGACACAGCACATTGCGAGTTTACGCCTCGAGCCATCGCGCCTTCAATTTTGCAGATGCGACACGGACATCCATCAAGTACGAATAGTTGTATCTCTGCGCCGTCACCAAAGCGTGTCCTTCCTCTTGCTCCACTTTCATGTTGGGTTATTTCCGTTTGTCCTTTTTGGTGGTTTTCCTTGTTCACGGGCTGCAGGAGGAACACAGCCGAAGATAAGAGAGATGTAATCTGGTCTCGTTTTATTTAAAGATAGGTAGAAACCTATTTTTAAATTTTTAATAAAAATGTTGATTTTTCCATCCTCTAACTGCTGACATTTTTATGAAAACCATGAATATTTGTTTGTGATGGACAGCTGTATATATTGTGATGATACCTTCAGAGAGTGACATTATTTCATTGCAACTAGACTAGGTTCTTTACAACGTAAAGTTTACGTAAGTAATACCCTGACCTGTTCCGTGCAGCACCTTTTCAAGGTTGCGGTGGGGAATTCTCATGACGACCAGTGGGAATTTCTGTCTTTTCAGTGTGCAAGCTTGCCCAGCAAGTGAGGTTATGTTTGTTTGCTTCCGTCTGAAGTCTTTTTTTATTACTGTGTTTTTCTAGTTTAAGTTTTTTACTAGATTAATTCTATTTTTACATGTAATGAGTTGCTTGTTCATATTATGTGAACAACGCATTTTCAGAAAATCTAATGGACGAGGATCTTTTATCAACCATCAATTTCTCCAATGAATAAGTAAGTCCACTCCTACATCATCTGAACACTCCCAACTAGGAAGTTGAGACTTGAAACCTGCATAATGCCTACTTACAGAGATGAAATTTTCTGAGCCCTTATCAATTAATCGCTATCTCAACGAGTTCACGCAGATGGGTGCCCACGCCCTGAAATGAATTCTTTCTCTAGTGCTTATATCTTCAGACCACCTTGTCAGACTGTAATTCATGAGTACCTTAGTACAAAATCTTTTCTTTGTATATCTTCTCCGCAACCTAGGTTTAATAATCTATGGAGAATTCTCTATGGTGTTTTCCCTTTTTAATATTTGTTTTGGCCCGTACTTGTTTTGTTCAAAGTTCAAAGTCCTCTTGGTGAAATTTTCCGGAGATGGTAATTAATCTCTTGGCAATCAATGTATACAGGGTCACTTACGCTCATTTGATTTAAATGATGTACTGCTGATTATTCCTGTTTAAGACGCTTCAGCAGTTCTTTTGTCCAGGAAGCTTAAAAGTTGTTTTCAAGATTTTATTCATTAGACCCTGTGAAAGACATCACCTCTGTGCATAATTTTTATTATTTCATAATGTTCTCCTGTCTTGACTGCTTTTCGTCTCTTTTTTTCAGCGAATTAAAAGAAAATATTCACAGCAATGAAGAGACATCGTCTGAAATGGGTTATGTTTACCAACAGTCGGTTGGCATTACCGTGAAAATAGGTTCACCAGTAAGTTATTCATCATTTTTAAAATTGGTCTCAAATTTAAAATAGAAACTAGACTTGTTTAAGTTCTATAATTCTTACATACTGCACTGAAGTTAGGACTGATCAATGAATTCACCCTCTTTTTCTGTAAAGTTCTCATGTGCTCACTTGTTCCCTTCAAATCTTTGTCTTTTTTCTGGTTTGACCAGATTTAAGTATACCTAATTTCTGAAATCACTAGTCAAGGCCAAACAGTAGGTTGAATTTTGACTCATTATGTTCAGTGAACAGTTATGATAACCACTGACTCAATTCTTTGAGTTTGCTGATTCTGCCAGGTGGCTCAATATACGAGAATGCAATGACCTTGAGTTTAAGTATAAGTAAATGCTGGATTCGCCAGTATAATAATAATAATCGTACAGTTACTTACGAGCATTCTGGCTTTCTTTGTTATTGAAATTCATGGCATTTGTGCCTTGAATTTCAATCACAAAGAAAGCTAGAATGCTCCTGAGTAGGTAACTGTATGTTTAAGTATAAGCTTGCTGTTAATATCAAATGGTTAAGTATGGAAGTTACTAGTGTTGCAACATAGTAAAGTGGCATATATCGATTTTCTTCATCAGTAGCATTGAAAAAGGTTATGACATTGATACCGTTCCAAGGTGATACAGCAGAGAAGCCTTGTCTTAACGTTACTTCTATTACCTATTACCTATGGCTATGAGAGATGGGAAATTGATCAGGACAGAGTAAAGTACATAAAAAATGTTTAATTTGAGCAGCATTGCGCAAATTTTTACTAAAAAACATCAGCTAATGCCCACTATAATGAAATAAATAATTATTCTGCAGCAGAATAACAGAAGAGATTCTCATGAAAATATAAAAAGCCAAGAAGAAGAAAGATATTTAATCCACAGATCATGTATGCTCCAGTAGAATGTTATGATTAGTACTGGCTCCTTTATTAAAATCTGCTCACAAATTGCACACTCGGACCTGTTGTGGTTTTTTTTTTTTTTTTTTTTTTTTTTTTTTTTTTTTTTTAAAGAAAAAAAACTACCTATTTCAAGCACTATGGACAAAAATAAATTTTCTGACTTGAACTTCGGAAGTTGAAACAAGGGTTTTGCTGAGAATGGTGCTGGTATAAAGATGCCATCCCTGTAGAATCATACTGGTTTAAATAAGTGCTTTAATCGCTTGTTTCAGAAAAATCACTCTCTGCCCCTGACTGATGGTTATGCTCTTCCTTGGATGACAGATGAGCGAGCCTCTCTCATTGTTGTGCTGATTGTTGCTGCTATTATTACTATCCTTCTCCTTCTGTTCATTCTAATTTGGAAGTGGATCCTTTACATTAAAAATAAAAATAATGGTGAGTGCCTAGGTTTCACTTATCTTAAACAGAGTGGTAGAACAGTTCTGGACCCAAACTATTCTTCAGGGGAATCAAAGACAGAAAAATAAAAAATTACAGGTGAAGTTGCAAAATGCATTCTAATGGGTTTCTAAGTAAAACTGAGGAAGAATAATGTTCAGCTCAAGCAGGTGGATTTTGTCTAACTGAGATTAACTGATAACTGGAAGACTCATTTGGGTATTTTTTTGGCCTCTTTAGCAGCATTTCATAAAATCATAGACAGCACTCATTTACTGGCACAATACTAAAGTGCTATCCTTGCATTATCTGCAGTCACTGCCGAACAACTCTCAGGATAAAACAAGGGAAACACCCAAAAATTGACCGCCTTGCAGTTGGTGCTGGGAAGACATCAGACGCAATGGTCAGTTCTGGAACAAAAGATTCATTTATCTTTAGTCACAGTATTACCAGAGCATAATTATTCCTTGCCCCTGAATGTCTTTTTTTTTAGGACTCTTAAAAGTTCTCTTTTTTTGTTCTGTGTCAATAGTTATAAGTTCTTTAATTTTTTTTTCTTTCAATTTTTTTGTTGCAGAAAACAGTAATGTCGAAGCAGTCAATGCATCCAGATTTGTAATTCCAAACATCCCAAGGTGAGCTGAATTTTTCCTGATTTCATTCTGACCATCCTTTCATTGAGTTGCTTTCAGCTAATATTTTAATGTATCTTGAATGAATTTTAATGTACCAAAAACTCCAGTAGCAGAGCACTTGTCCCAGTAAACTATCTAAATGTGATTCTTAGCTTTACAATGTTACATACCGACCTGATATGTGTATTGGTCAGTCTAAGAGGGATTTCATGTCTCAGTCAGAAAATGAATTTTCAATTTTTGAAATTTTCCTCTGTAATTGCTGTTCCTTTGTACTTGAGTGTGAAAAAGAAAATAGTGTGCAAATGAAGTCTCTCTTGCATAAACTTAAGTTTTCGTACAATTTTTCCAAATTCTCAGTCCAGTCTACTATTTCACATTGTTCAATACTTCAGGGAAACCTGTCACAGCTTCCTTACAATTTTTTACCAATATATTCTTCTTCATTGCCGTAAATATTTTGAGAGTTCGTGTAATTAAGTCAGAATTCTGTCCACAGTCACTCTGTATTCTTGGATCCGAAGACGGGCCAATTTGTTTATGACAGTCGCGTCCAACCTCCTCCCACAGAGCCTGCAAATCAAACGAGACATTGGTACTACCAGAATCATCTTGTTGCCCCACAAAATCCGGGAAATCCGTCAAATCCTGCTCCTCACTCTATCAGCATTCCTCCAAATCAACTTTTGTGTCTGGTAAGTAGAGGAAAAACTTGATCCAAGTTTTCATTGAGAAGTACAATTCAAAATTTTTACAATATATTTTTAGAAGATTCCAAGTAAAATCTATAAGGGTCCCCTCAGACATCACAATAAGTAGTAGCCACAATGAATGCAAATTCTTTAAAACTTCAATTCTTTTTTGGTGCAATTCACCTATCAGATCAAGAGGAAGAGCTTTCCAAAAAAAAGCTGAAAGTCTAGTTCCAGAGAAATGCATCTACATCAAGTGTTCAAACGCTTTTCACTGCTTTCTGATTTTGAAAGGTACTTCATATTGGTGATTCATTGGCCAGGTTGATGCCTGCACATTTGAAAATTAAACATTGTTTTAGGAGCATTCAGAAAAAATCGAAATGTCAATGAAGGAATTTTTCACACTTCTGGTTTTTGACGTCTCTTCCAGAAGTAAATCAGTCCTAAGTTTGAGCAAAAAATTCTGAAATTTTATGATATAAACAAGATATTGACGAAAACACAAATTTAGTAATTTTGCTTGAGTACAAGAAAGAGAATGAATCAAAAATTAATAATGTTTCTCTGGTACTTGTCAGGAGCAAAAAGATGTTGGAATTTTTACTTTCTCGCTCCCCTAGTTTTAAGTTGTTGCAAAAATATTGGAAAAGAATTATTCCTCTAACATGATATGACCTTACTGCTGATGAGCTTATCAACTAAAAAAAAGCCTTGTCTTTCACAGCAATCATTAGCAAAGTAAACTGTAAATAAAATATATTATTACAGGCAATAATGAAACTGTTGAAGCGACATGGTAAAATAGTGCTGGGTCCACACTTTTTTGCAGAGAAAGCAAGGTCAAATAATTTCAATTATATTCAAAAAATTGACTGATGGAGATCAAGATAATAGATAAACCACTCTGTTATGAACTTAAAATTCTCATTTATTTCGGTAAAGTGACAAAAATTTCTCTTTTTAAAAAGTATTTCTGGGAACTGAGGTCTCCTTTACCCCTTTAGTGCACATTCTAAAGTGGATTTACAACAACTAACTCTCCCTTCTTGTTTTCTCATAGAAAGTAGCCGAAGAAGAACAATCGAAAACAATTGAGCCTGAAGAAACACCATCCAGCTCTTTACCTCCACAGATTTCTGAATTCAACCCAAAGTGTGCCTCCAGCGCTACCAGTAAGTCTCCTTACTTTTTTCAATGGTAAAGCATCCAATCGATAACTAGTTTATGCAAATTGGAATCAAACTTGCCCCATATTCAGCAAACAACATTCATGCGAATATCATAATGGTACAATTTTCATCATGAATCATACCATTTCCTTTATCTTATTTATTACATGAGCATGGCACAATTCACAACTGTTTGCAAGTGAAATCACCTCTTCCTGATTTGCTGCCAGGTTCATGTTATTCACTACCTTTTGCTTTTTTTGATTTACTCTTTCAAGGTGCTAGGTTGCAAACCGGAAGGAACAGCCAGAGTTGAGATTGTTGAGTTGTTTGTGTTTGTTTCGTGTTTACCATTAGCTTTTTTCATCTGGATTCTTCAGTTACATTTTGCAGCCTCTTGATAGTTGATTGTTTTGTTTGAATCTTTCAGTTTTGGAGGACGATCGAGGTTTGTGGAACATACCTGAAGATGCCTCATCAACGTTGAAAACGAGGAGTTTGCCAGCTTGTGTTCGATCAAAGCTAAAGCAATCAGCATCTGCAGATAATTCTAATGATTTATATTCCAAAGTAAGTTTTTGTGAAGTACTTATCTCTTAATGGATGGGCCAGATTTTCTTTCAAGGAATATAAAATCTCACTTTGTGCTCTCCAAAGTTTTGATTTAGCCTCTTCTATGTGGAGTGTGGCTGGGTGGAGATCAATCTTGAGAAGCATGAGTGAATAATGACCTCAGCCGCCCTCTTACAAATGTTTTCTAACGAAGATGTGAGACTTTTACCACATATATGTGGATGTTGCGCAGCATGCTTCTTTCATTTGTATGAATTTTGTCTGTTGGGTACATGAATTTATTTTTATTAAGGTTTTGATAATTTAAGAAAAATAGTAAAGTAACTCTCAGACACTTGGAATCGATCAAGGTTTGGTGGTTAGTTTACTATTTTTCTTATATTATTGTCTTGTTTAGAAATGCTGAAAAATTCGGTTTTCAGTCCTGCTTTCTGCAAGACTGGTGCATAGAGAGCTTGATTGTAAAAGCTCATCCTGCTCAGAAATCCATCAGGAATCAATAAATATCAAAATTTAGCAGTCGCTAAATTCTTGGTATTCTGTGCATAGTCCTTTGCAAACATAGTATTTAATTAAAAGTATTGCAGTCCATTTGAGTGTTAGTCATCGAGCATGCATATAAAAATAACTGAATCTTTTTTTTTTTTTATCAATAATTCTAAAATTGATTGTTTAATTATGATACCTGCTCTAAAGCAGAATTGAAAGTGATCATCAGGTGCGAGGGGTCTCTCCTCTTTACTTTAAGGCACACCAATTAAATTAATAGCTGTCTAATTATTATAGACTCTCATCTCTGTTATCATTGGTCAACAAGCTACCACAACTTAGGACAGCTGGAGAATTTATCAATTTCGCTAACATCGGTGGTAATATAACTCTATGTGAAAAGTTTCAATTGTTGAATATTTTGGAAGAATATCTTAGAGAGTAGCTCTTCATTTCAGTTCTTGCAATGTCCCAAATTTATTGTGTTATTAACCTACCTGCACCACCGTCATTGTTAGAGTCAAAATCCAACATAATCAAAAACTGTTTCTTTGTTTTTGCAGGTCAATTTCAGTAAAAAGCGTAAGAATCGTATGCGAAATGATGAAGCTGCTATCATAGCGATCAGCAAGTCTCGAAGTCAGTACCTTCACAGAGATACAGATTCTCTCGTCGATAATGAAGCCATTATTGTCTACGATGAAAGAACTGCCCTCTGAATCAAAAGACTTTCTACAGCATATTTTTTGTACTCTCTTTTTTTTTCTTCTTAAACCTCTACTTTGTGTAATGTGTATTTTCGACTGTGCTTTTGTGTTTTTTGCTCTAAAGTACTGTGATTTTTGAGTAAAAATGATCCATTTTTTTACCAATGCATATCCGTGTATGCTCTTGTATATAGGTGAATTCACTCGTGTGTTAATAGTTGTTTATTTTTGTATTTGTTGTTTTATAACATGATCAATGTTGGTAAAACATTTCCATGCAGCAATATGATCTGAAGTCCCTGTTTTGATCATTTAATAAAAAAAATATGAACCATAATTCTTGATTTCTCTAACTCTTCCTCACATCTCTCATCGTCAGCCATCATATTTTAATTGTAATGTATGTGTCTCGCTACATATGGATTTTTCCTTTCTTTTTTCTCCATTGCTTGAAATGCGGGATAGGCTTTAGCCTACCATAAGTTATTAAGTAATTTACATTTTGCAATCAAGTATGAGACATTTTGAAAGAATACTTGGCACTTCCTATCTGTTCCTTGTCATTTCATGAAGGTATTGTCTTTGCTGCAAATATTCCAGTATCTATTATGTTTGTTGAAAGTTCTCATGATTTTTCTGACTTCAAAACAAAAATTGAAAAAAGTGAAGGGACAGAAAATATTTAGAGAGCCCCTTATTTTGTGTGATTTTTCGCACTATAATTCAAATTTAGTTTAATTGAATTTGCATAGAAATTGTGATGAATATTCTTTTGTATGACAGCAGCCCCACTAAATGTGTCAAAAACTTAGCATAATTTGAATTATGCATGCAGACCAACTTCATTAAAGCTCTGTGCGTACACTTTCACTGATCCAAGAAATCTTGCAACAACCATTCATGGCCTGCATCATATTTCAAAAAATTACAAACTCTGTATCTTTGACCTGCTGTCAGATGTCATATCCAATTTTTCTACCCATGTAAATTTTTTGCTAAGTACGGCAAGATCGAGAATAACTGAATCCTTCCGAAATCTCCAATTATGTTTCTTGACTCTTAACTACAAATAGGGGAAGGAGAGCAACCAATGAATATATTCTTATCAGTTAGGTACTTCGTGCAGAACTTCTGCTTCAGCCCGATTAACTATGTTCTTCAGAAATCGAATCAAATAGAAGCTAGACCTGAAATGCATGATGCAGTTCCGTCATATCCGAATAGCTTGGGCTTGGATCACTTAATCACCTAAATGAAGAAGTGTTCACTTGTCCATTATTTCATTGTACCGACATGCTAAAAAAGCATTAGCCCTTTCAGCATGAGCCCCAAAGAAACTCTCCTAAACAGAAGATGTGGCCGAGATTTTCAGAATGACTCTGGAGAACCTGCTCGTTACAATTTATCCAATGAGTGCTCTTCAGTGCTGCACCCATCTTTTTTCGGCAGAAGGCTAGATGTGTCAGTTACGGCTTGAGCAAAACACAATAATGAAAAAATAAAGAAAACCTTACAACACATAAAAAAGACTCAGTAGACATTTCGAAATATTTATTGAAAAACAGAAAGAAAAAAGAAAAACATAACAATATTACAATATCACTGTGTTATTTTTTAGATGTGTTCGGACGCTGCTGCCGCCAAAATTCTTGACGATTCGTTAAAAATGCAACCCCTTCTTGTGCCAACTGCCCTATATGATTTTTTCCTGATTGGTGTAAACATATTAGATCTGAAAACAAAAAAACAAAAAAAAAAAAACTAAATTAAGTATTTTAAATTTCAAAATCCAATTTTAATAGCTTCAGTATGACAAAAAGTCCAATCTTCAAACACTCAGGGGGAAGGCTGAGAGGCACACGAATTTTTGTTCACCTTTAGTTGGACTCGAGTTTATGTGTGTATAGCCTGTGTTACACTCTCAAATTACTCCATTAAAATATCAAGGTCAAGTGCTGTGATTGGTCCAAGTCATCGAATAAGCCGATCACAACACCTGACCTTGTTATTTTGATGGTTAGCTTTGTTAGTGTGGTACAGACTATATTACAGGGACACTCAATTTCAATTTATCGCATTAATGGGTGAACCGAAGTCCCAAGTAGCATTTCTCAAAAATCGCTATAGATTGCGATTTTATCGGCGATAAAATCGCCAGGATCATCAACATCTGAGCGATTATCCTCGATCTTATCGCAATAAAATCGCGCTTTTATCGCCCGAAAATTTATCGCAATACTTTCGAAGTAAAAATCGCAATATTTTCGAAGTAAAAATCGTAATAAATGGCGATTTAATCTCGATTTTATCTACAAAAATTGACCACGATTTTATCGAACCAAAAATTGCGATTTAATTGCCATATATCGCGATTTTAATGCGAAAATATCTCGATATATTGCCATCGATATAATCGCAATAACCAACCCCTGGTAATATTTGGCAGTAGAATCTGTGTTCCAAAATACCATAGACCTACAGCCGACTGTAAGATTTCCAATAGCTTCTATAGCCGGCTGTAAGATTTCCAATAGCTTCTATAGCCGGCAACACAATTTCTTACAAATATAGCCTTTTATAGCCGATGACGACTAAGAAACAGCCTCGCGATAAAGTGTATGCTAAACGTCACTAGTTACGGATGCTAGAACATAGTGAGTTTTTGGACTACCGCTCTCCTTTTGGGCCGTAGTATCTTGATTTATTTTGCGAGGAAAGCTCCGTACTTATGAAGGATGCCTGCCATTCCTAATATGTTGGAGCGCCTTCAATTTCGTATGATACTGTACAATACCTCTGGTGTGAAATAGTTGCTTCAGGCGCCGTGGTACGCTGCGGCGCGGCAGGCGGGCAGCCAGCGCGGAACGCGCATGGGCGCCTTCAAACCTAACAGGGATACTTCACGCATTGCGCAATGCGTGAAGTATCCCTGTTAGGTTTGTAGGCGCCGGTGCGCCGCCGCTCCGCTTTGTGTTCGGCTCTAATATTTAATCTCGTAGAGTCAGCGTTTTTCAACTCACGACTTTGAAATGTTTGCACACCTGTATGGTTTATTCTCATTTTAATTGATGAAAAAAAAATGTAGTAAAGGAAAATATAATGTGCGTTTTGTAAATATATTAAGGTGATTCCGTACAAACTTAAGGATTTTCAAAGCACACGAATTTCCACACAATTTCTTATGGCCTTTTATAGCCGATGGCGAAAAAGCAACAACCAGGCGATAAAGTGTAAAGCCCGGCGATAGGAACAATAGCCCGGCTGTATAATTTTGTATCGCTTCGTGTAGCCCGGCCGTATGATTTTTCCCACTTTCTACAGCCAGCTGTATGATTTTCTATCGCCCTCTTCAGTCGGCTATTAGAACTCCTATGGTATTTTGAAACGCAGGTCCTATGGCCAATTTTTACCAAGGACGCTATATATCGCGATCACTGCTACTTGGGGTATCAAAGCATTGCTAATCTAATGGCTCGCAACACATAGTAAGTACTTTAAATTATAAAATTGGAAACTCCTGTGTTAAAATTTCTCGACGTTATTGCCCCGATCGATTTGTATTGCACGATCAGCGGGCCGATTATTGAAATTGATAGACAAAGCGATAGACAAAGAAGACATAGGAGGTATAGAGCGATCCTATTGGTTGACATGGTTGGTTCTTATAGAATAAGGAAGAAAATGATGTACTAACTGTCGGGTCTTTGGTGGGTTGCCGTTAGTTAGTCCATTACCTACCTCCTATGTCCATTGCCACCACCCGCTTCCACCAATAGGATCCTTCCAAATCCCTTTTGTCGTCTTTGTCTATAGCTTTGTCTATAAGTTTCAATAATCGGCCTGCCGGGACTTGAAAAGTACGATTTCGATTTCGACTGTCGTATGGACGTAGCTAGAATAACCAGGAATCTTTTGTGGGGGAGGCAGAGGTACACCTCGTTTAGGGAGGTATATGCTCTAAGAGACACTTCAAAAAACCCTATTAGGGGCGAATTGGACCTTTCCGTTCTTTGCCATTGGTATGTATCATTGTACAGATAAATTAATTCACGAGAGCCGAGCCTGATGTGTTACCTGGATGATTGAGTAAATTTTCTAAATATTCCTTGTCTAAACATAGCTCTCCCAAAAGTCTCCTCGTCGTTTTTCGGTTTTCTATTTCTTGCCTTGTTGCGGTTGTGCCTCCAGTGATTTTCCGCGCGCTTAGATTAGATGGTGGTTTTCCACCTGTTCCCGGGACGTTTGAAGAGCGATTGCTTGTCGGTCCTCTACTGGGGTTTTCCAGATCCAAAACAGCGCCCATCTTTCCTGCAAAATGATCGAATGCAACTCTTTTATGAGTCTAAACAAGAGCGTTTTCCCAAATGGGAAGACCTTGCTCTAACATCATGTCAGTTTGTCTTCAATTTTTAGTATAGGCAACACAAGCTCCTACGTGGTCGAATAGTGGTATCGTTCCCCTTCAAGTTAGACGATCTTTGTCTGCGATTTTAGCGTAGACACGATAACTTTCAAAAGAGGAAGGGGAAGAAAAAAAGAGTTGGAAGATGAAGAGGAAGAAAAGAAAATGAAGAATAATAAGAATAGTAGAGATAGAAGGAGGAGAAAAGAGAGAATGGCAGAAGATGAAAGGAGTAAGAGAAATCAAAGAGGAGAGAGCAAAATATGGAAGAGAAAGTATAGGAAAAAGAAGAACGAGGGAAAGAAGATTAAGGAATGAGGAAGAAGCAGAAGAGGAAAGGAAAATTAACGGAGAAGAAGAGAGAAAGAAAAAGAAGACAACAAGAAGAAGGAGGAAAAGAAGTATGGGAGAAGGAAAGAGAGGGGAGTGGAAGGAGAGGAAATAAGAAAGAAGACAGATAAGTATAGTGAAAAGTGAAAGAGAAAGAAGAAACGAGGAGGACGAGAGAAATAAGGGAAAATTGAAACAAGAAAGAAGAAGAAAATGAAAAGAGAAATGAAGACAGCAAGAGATCGACAAGAATTTATCGATTCTTTTTTTATTACTTCTGATTCATTTTTTATTATTTTATTGATTCTATTACAATCGATTGGATTTACTTATGCCGGTCTATTGCTCTTCCGGTAAGTTCCAATAAAATACTCAATCCGTGGAATGATCAATCACTATTATTATACTTAATGGCGAAGCATCTAGCGTGACCTCTGTCGTGGACTTTTTTTTAAAATATACTTTCATAAAAGATAGAAATGTCTCAAAAATTCTATGCAAATGTACCAACCTATTGTATTTTCAATGGCTTCTTGGGCCTTTTGAACGCCTAGTCGAAAATCCTCCATCTCTGGTCGAATCTTCAATCCACGATGATAAAACATGAGGCTGTGCTCGAAATTTCCTAGATGGTACAGCGCTTCGCCTTTCTGGAATATTGCTAAAGAAAATGTTAAAAAAATATATTTTTTTTTCAAGCTTTACTCATCAATTTTACTAAATTATTAGCTGATAAAAACAACGAATTTTCAATCGAAATTTTACCACTGTAATAAATTTATTAGGTATTTGAGGCCCAATCTTGAAAGCAGGTGCAACTTTCAATACCTGACGTGATTAAAATCGATGGTTTGAAATAGGCGTATTTTCGATTGCGACGTTGTTAATCTCCGATTAAGTTTTATTGTTTACGAGAAAACTTCAAGTATATAACCGGCCATTTTTCTTATAAACTGAGAATTCATATTAGGCACTCGCTCAAAAATATTCCCAGACAATTTCAAGGATACATCGCAATGAGTTTTCTTTTAAGAAAATAAAACGTAATTGGAGATTTTTTACACTTTGCGATAGAGATGCACATTTTTTTACTTCAGCTATTGATGATATTTTAAGTCAAATTTTTAAGCAATAATTGTTTGTTTAACGCTATTGGAGAATACTGAAGAGAATAATGAAAAAGAAGGAGAAAAAACCGCATGGTGTCAATTAACCTATGCTCTGATAATAATTGTAAGCGCGCAAAAACTTTAATGCAACTGTGACCCCTACATGGATTAAAGCCAGTAACCCAACAGTAACAAGTAAAAATAAATAAAAAAAATAAAAAATAAAAATTCAACTGCGACAGCTCAGTGTTATGAACACGAGAATGAAATATGAGAAACAGAAATTATTTCGTAACGATTTTTCTCCCTTTTTTGCTCCTTCTTTCTTTAGGCATATAATCTCTAAGTACCGTGAGCTCGATACTTCTACATAATGAAGCTTCAAATAAGAGTCAGATTGTTTCGTTTACCTTTTATAAAATTTTTATCAATACTTAGTGCTGTCTCGGCATCCGACAGAGCTAATTTTGGCTCACCAAGAAGGAGGTAACACTTGCTACGGGCAGCCAACGCCTGCTTGTCATTTGGATTAAGTTCTAAGGCCTGAAACAAAAATCATTTGGTCAATTGATTCATGAAGATGTAAGAAGGAATAAAAATAGACTTACAAGGATAACCATCAATTTTTTAAACTTAGCACAACAGAATGATACGATAAAAATTTACGACAGTCATGAAGACTTCCGTTCTGATTTTTCACAGAGCCTCATCCATTATCGTTATGTATTTGATTTGATCTTCATTTTATTCTCGGAGTAACGTGACCAAGCCAACGAATCAGTTAAGAGAGATCAAGTTTTATGATTGACCTGACCAAATTTGTCAGAAAATTATCAACCATAAACAATAACTTTAACTCGCAGTGGAACCAGTGAAGTCGAACGCTGCGCCGTCTATTTGAAACGACCAGCGACATTAATTGATTGAGTGAATGAGCTCTGTGCCATGGATGTGTCTCCGAAATGAATGGTCACCTCCCTCTCCCCTCCACCCACCACCACTACCACGAACTGAACCCTCAAGTTTGGATGCAATAATTTACGATTAATATAATGATAGCATGTGTTGTGTAGTGTTTTCATTTGCTGTTACATTAATCATTGATGAATTAATTCAAGGGTGGCGGCCGGAGTAATTGAGCTCCCCCCCTCCCTTTCCTGGCTAAACAAGAAGAAGAAGGAGCGGTATAGCCACGAATAGATAATAGATGTGACCATTCCTCGGGCCTAACTGAGGGACTCGTTCGCGGAAGCTGAACGAGAAAGGACGCGCGTTGATGACGGCGCAGAGATACAACTATTCGTGCTTGATGGATGTCCGTGTTGCATCCGCAAAATTGAAGGCGCGATGACGCGAGGCGTGAGCTCGTAATGCTCCGGTACAATGCTACATATTGCCAATGAGAACTGACATGATATTTTCTTTTAGCATATAAATGTGTCGGAAAATAAAGAGAAAGCTGTCTATTCCAGTGGAATCTGGTCATAATGGAACGTGCTCATTGAGGAAAAGCCATCTTAACGTAAAAAGCTGTCGAAGTTTCGGTGAATTTACTATGGGAAAAGAAAGTTATTGGAGCGGCTCATTAGATAAATCTAGAGTTAAGGGGGAAACGTCTCTGCGGCCCGTGTAGTTGTGTGTGTTATAACTTACAAAGCGGTGCTTTGGCTCTGTACGCAGATGGGTGTAATGAGAAATGAAAGAAGGTGGTATTGGATTGTTGACCTGTTAAGAAAACCTTGAATCACCTTGTTGACAAAATTGATGGCGATGGCGACGTCGCCGTTTCTGAGCTCGTAGTTTCCCAAGGCGAGGAGGGTGCCCGGCTCGGCCTCTTCAGGGATCTGAAGGGCCTTGCTCCTGTCGGCGCGGCGCTTCATCTTCAAACTCTGCTTGATGTCGCGGCTGCCCATGTTGACGGCGGCGGCCCGGTCCTTGTCCGTGTAGACCTCCTCCTGACGACGGACGCGGACCCGCTTCCCGCGGACTCGGACCTTGTTGGCCTGGCCCTGCTTCTGCCGGAGCTTGAGGTCCTTGGTCAGCTGGACGAAGGTGAGCGTGCCGTGGGGCGCCGTCGGGGGCGGCGAGCCCCCTCGCTGCGCCCCCTTCCCGCCGCGCGCCTTCTCGTCGGGCGCCGGCGGCGTGTCCGGCAGCGGCCGCTTCACTTCCTTCCCCGTCCGCAGCTTCACGTTCTTCTTGTCCGGCTTCTCGGCCACGTCCTGGTCGGCCTCGTCCCCGGCGTCCACCCGGAGGAAGCTCTGCAGGAACTCTTGATCCCGGGTGTTCCCATGGAGGATCCCTCGCACCCGCTCGTTCTCCGTCGTCTTCCCCGCCTCCGGCTCCGCTCCCACTTCGTCGCCCATCCCGCACTCCCTCCTCACTCTCTCCCGCTCTTTTTACAGGTACGTGAAGCGCACTCCCGTTTCTTCTCCTACCGTCGCATCGGCTGTCGGAGAATAATCTCGCACATCAAGTACAGTTTCCATTCGGGCACAAAATACACATACTTAGAACCGCGGGCAATGTTTAATTCCATCCTTCAAGAGAAGAACCATCCACGAATGTCTGAGCTCGTCGTGTTGCTCCAATGTTACTTTCGACCGACGCCACGCCTCAAAGTGTCTTTTTTTTCTTTCTCTCATTCTTTCAATAGGTAACAAGTTGTGACTTTCTATAATACAGTCTCGCATATGGTGAGGATTATGAAACGTGTTTCTCATGCCAACAGTTGGACGTATTTCTATCTAACGGAACTAAGCGCCGTTGGGAGAGGAAGGGAGAGGGGGGCTTGTATTAGCGGGTGTTGCGGAACGCGATGCTCGTTCCGTCCTATACTCGCAATGCTTTTCCATAGCGCTTAGTTCCGTTTGACAGAACGCTATCCGGGATTCTATAGTCCTCAAAAGGAACTCAATTTGGCACCTAGTTCCGTTCAACAGAAATACGTCCAGTTGAAACCTATTGAAAAACAAAAAAAGAGATATTTTTCCCCTCTTGGTTTGTATTTCACAGTATCTTAAAGCATAAATTCTGTATTTGTTATTTCTCACTCTATTCGCTAAACTTGTAGTAATATTGGTTAATACTTTTAGTAATGTACTCTACGTGGTTAGAATTTCTATCTGGGGGACACGCGGCTATCTTACAGTCAGAGTTTAGCAGCATTGAGTCACTGTGCTTGTATGCGCTCAAAAATGCATTATTTACTTGGGGAGAGGGCATACATTTTCTAGTAAAAGCCCTCCCGGGATCCTTCTCCTTCCTTTTCATGCTCATACTCTTCCGAAAGAATTTTAAAATACTTGAACCTATTCCATTCCCAAATCCGTATGTATTCTTATAATTTCACTGGGGAAAAGAAGGCTTTGATCTGCCTCTTGAGTTAAGAATAAAAAAAGCGCCTGTATAAGTCTTGACGAGAATCACCTGTAAATAAATGAGATGCATCCTCCTTCTTGCAGCTTCATTCAACTTAAAACTGACAGTGACGAGTATTATTCTTTCACTGACCCTCTTAACGACGGTCCTGACCATTTTCATCGATCAAACTTCCACTCGCGTGCTCTTAAAATCTTCTTTCGGACGAGTCATATCTCATGGTATTAATATAATTTTGAATTTTATCGACTTTAAGGGACTTGCGCTCAATTTATTTATTTGAATCCCAAGTAAACCAGCTTTGGTGTTCTCCTATTGATTCTCAAAATAAGGTGTGATTTTCTCACGAGAGCTATGAGCAAAGAAAATTCCACTATGACCTAGATTACTTTATATGCTCTGTCGGTAGAGATAGCTCTGATGATAAGTTACATGCACGAAATTAGTTTCTTAATTTTTCCTAAATCTATTAAATTTGTGCATAAATATTTAACGATATGCATGAATAATCGCTTAGAAATTACCTGAATGCATGGATCTTAAATGGACGAGTAATTCGATCGTACTAAAATTTTAATGATTTTAAGGATCAAGAGACTCGTCTTTATAGTTTTTGCAAAAACACCATTGAACACTTGATAAAACTCCAAAATGAGACGAGTTAATAGAATGTGAAGTTACAGAACCATGCGAGGGCGTGAAAAGATGGCCTCATGTAGTAAGACGTTGCGAGACAATTTTAATCATAAAGCCCTTTTGCCATCTCTTTCCCTCGTAACTTTTAAATCGACATTCCTCAAATAAATGAAATGATAAACAGACTAACTAACCAACAATCTAAAAAAATATTGAAAATTTTTTTGACCAGAAAGGGAATCGAATAGGATCAAAATGTTGACCATATTAGTGGATAATTTACATCTACTGTTTGGGGTGGATTTCCTATTTTCATCTCAACATTTTCATTTTAATGTTGTTATCCGTTAACACTTGAGGAGCAACTCGCCGAGCTCGACTTGAAAGTTCAAACTTCAACATCACGAAACCGATAAAATAAGCCGTGAAACACACTAAGGTCAACATTTGAAACTGGATTCTAAAGTGTTCACTGAAAAGTGTCACACACTGGAAATTAATTTTGCGATGAGGATCCGCGCTAACAACATATTTTTCACTTTAACTTCACTTAAACCTCTGGTGGCACTCAAGTTTTCAAAAGGGTGATTTTATTTAAAGTAACTGGGAAAACGTCACTTGAAACGCACGGGTTTGCTACTTTTTGACGAGATTTAAACCGGAATCTTTCAAAATCTTATAAATTATTCCCCATTTGATCATTCAAATCCCGAAGATAAACGGACGGAGTGACTATTCTCGCGAGGAAAATATAAAGTTGAAAAATGGGGATAATGGTGTAAATCTGAACGGTAGAGCTAACACCGTAGGAGACAGGCACTAACGCCTTTTCCCTCGCCTACACGTTACCAAGGTGATAGTCAACTAAATCCTAATCAATTGCTTCGTGTCATGATAGATTCATATTTAATTATGTTCACGATACATTTTTATATCTATCTTGACGCCGTCACCTGTTACCACTCACTCGATTTCCGATATAAATTGTTTTTGATCACTCATCTCAAAAGGGATATGATTGCGTTGAGTTCGAAGAGTTTGTGGAGCAGGGAGCAAATGAGGTTGCGTGCTTTACTCAAATGTGAGGGTGTGTTTCAAAGTACAACTTTCTATCGTCTATGATTCAAAAATAACGAAAGGTATCGACACACCCAAAAGTCAAACATTTTACTGAAAGTATAATTTGCCGAGGAAAATAGATTCACTGTTTTATTCATGTGATTGTATATCATTATTTTTAGTAGAGAATGCGTTAGTTTCATTCCCACTGCAAAAAAATAATATGCTGTTTTAGCACCTAGGATGTCAAAAATATGTCTGGTGATCCCAAGATGCTGCCTTTGCTGCCCCCGCAGTTAACTTTACATCCTATGAATGCAAATTCAACTGCGTGGGCAATCAAGGCAACATCTTAGGATCACCAGACACATTTTTAACATCTTAGGTGCTAAAACAGCATACCATTTTTTTCAGTGCCACTAAAATGCCTCTGCCGTAATTAAGTGTGTCATTGCATGAGGGTATAAAAAAAGACAATTTTGCGGTGAACACTGACATTAGGAAGATCCAGTGGCCCAGTGGGTTCCTTAATCAAATGATGTCATCATAAAGCATAATAAGAAACACAATACCCATATGTTTATACTATGTTTACCAAATTTTAAGCGATGTATGATCGTAGAAAATATTGTTCATTAATCGTGAATCAAAAAGTCACTCCATTCCTTAATATTGGAATATTAATAACGTAGGGTTATGATATTATACTGGCGCACTACCAGCAGATTGTGTACTGACGATTCGTGGTATACTGTCTACCGTCTTGGACTTTAAATCATATTATAGGCTGATATCAAATTTGTCTTTCAGCATCGTATTTTAATCGTTATCTAATCGTATTCTTCACAATTTCCTCAAATTGTTTGCATTTGGATGTAGTCACAAAAAATTGACCTTTGCAGATCGAATCATAGAAGAAGTAACATCATTGAATACTAGCATTGAAAAGGAAACCCTTTTCTTTTTTTAAAAAAATAATTGAAGAAGACAAAAAAATTAGATAAATCTCTCTCAACCGATAAATTCACTTCTTCTCCTCTACCTTTTTTTGATCTGTTCAATCCTCATTGCACAAACATCATAAATTTGTTTGTATGTTTGCCCTTTGCATAACAAAATTTTCCGAAATTAATATTCAAAAACAATATGTAAGGATGAAAACCCCGCAGCATGAGGCCTCAGAGCTCCTGCAGTGTTCGTGGTCAACAACAACAACACGTGGTTATACAACTTGTAAAGCCCACTCGAAGCGAGCTGCGGATTGCCTACTTCTTGAAATGCAGGAGTTTCGTTGGCACAACTACCGCGTCTCGTCGGCCGACATGCTGAGAGTCGTAGCTCATAAACCAACGTCACTATTGTTGGGAAGTGAACAAAGCAAACTTGTCCTCTCAGTACAAGGTACAAATATAGAACTTTCATCACTTGCTTAGTGACAATTTCCACCCAATACTGCATCAATCTGCACCAATTAAACTTTAAAAATTATTGTAGAAAATCGACATGGTTGTCAAAATTTCAACTGGAATATTTTTAGATGCTCGTAAAAACCTTTAAAGTTGGTTGGTGCGTATGCTTATTGTGCTCTCATATTAGATTTGGCGGGTAAATGTACACTGGAAAAAAAATCAGATGGCCATTTCTTAATGACCTTAGATTTTTCCTTTCATCCCCCAACTTTCAAAAAAAAAATCTGGGGCTCCCTTTTAAAATAACAGGCTTTGCCGCAGGTTTTGGGGGAGTTGGTATATAACATAGAAAAAATGAGCCATTTACGAATTCATCAGCTAAAAATACACATAGAAATACATGTATCGGTATGGGGTTTCTCCGCTGTGTCTGATGACGAGGTTTTTTCGGTCAAAAGATATTATTCGCCCGTGTACTTCAATGCAAAACCGATCCGTTTGGTTTGTGAGTGCGTTTGTTCCAACACGTAGTTTACAAAGTTAAAACCATGATTCAGTCGCGGGACAACTGCAAGTCTCTAGTCGGTCAAAAAGAAGTCGGTCTCCAGTCAATCAGAGGCTCTCAAAGCTACATGACTGACAAACGAAAAGGTAAAAAGAGGAGAAAAGTAATTTTATTGTGATGTTGTTCAGATAGGTTAACTGAAAACATATGTGAAATTCTAAGTCGCATGGGGCAATATGCTGTAATGCGTATGAAATATATGTCTGAATGCCTCTTACTTTGGTGTAATTTCTCAAAGCTTTGGTAAAATTTCCAGTTTTCATCTGTCCCCCGGCTTCCTCACACAGTATTTTTCTGGTCGCATCTTGATTTAATTTGTTTTTTTTCTTGTCCTTGCTTGATTTGTTGTGCATGGACGATGAGCGATTATTTGATCTATATGCAGGCATCTTCACGCCCCCTTAGTAGTGCTTGTCAGAAATGCTGCAACAAATCGCGTTTAAATTAGGCATGTAAGTGACCCTTGGACGTATTTCTGCCAAACGGAACCAGAGACAGGTTAGAAAGGAGGGGTGTGCTCGTTAGTCGAGGTCCGTAAGAATGAATAGGAATTATAAAGCGCCAGTGACGTCAGAGGCAACGGAGCCATGCACCGCCGCGATCGCTCGTCCCTGACTCATGAGCCCTGTCCATAAGGTTCCTGTCACATGCCCATGACTCA